CCACAGAAAAGCTCTCACCTCCCCATATCCAGGATCACACATTGAGCGTAGCCAAGTTCCTGAAGATAAAGTGGGCTGGCTGACTGAGTGGGAAGATTATAATCCTGTGGAGTACACTGCAAAGTCTGTTTTGGCCAGACCCAATTGGGCAGACCCCCAAATCAAGTGAGTAGAAATGGTGGCTCTTTTCCCCTGAGAACCTGAAAGCAGGAAATAATCATGAATTGAGTTAACATGATCATCTTAAGTGATGTGTGATTCTACAGTGATGTGTGAAAATTAAGATTAAGGAAAGCGGTATTTAGAGAATGAGTACTTTAGATTGTTGTGAAGGTCTTTCTTTGATGCATGATTTTACTGAGCTGATGATTGAGATTGGAATAATGGACAGCTATTGATGCTGTGCACATGTTTCTCTGTGTTGTGAGCCAAATAAAAATTTAATTCTCCTTAAGAATTTGGAAGAACATTTTAGTGATACACTTGTTTGTTTATTTATGGTTGGGATGCAACATGAAAAAAGAAAGTGTAATTGTAGTTTTTGAAGGGAGTGCTCTGATTCGGGAAATGTGAAAGGTTGTGACACACAGATTGTTTTTGTGATTGTGTAACAATGTGGGTGTCAGTTCTTCTGTCCTGAGTAACAAGGGATAAGACAAGAGGAAATAGCCTCATGTTGTGCCAGGGGAGGTTAAGATTGGATATTATGAAAAATTTCATCGCCAAGAAGTTTATCAGGCCCTGGAACAGGTTGCCTAGGGAACTGATGGAATCACTTTCCCTGAGGCATTTAAAAGATATTTGGATGTGGCACACGGGGTTTAGTAGTGGGCTTGGCAGTGCTGCGTTGAACTTGGTGATTTTAGGTGTCTTTTCCAACCAAAATGATTCTGTGATTCTACACCTCTAATCTTAACAAAAATACTTTTGAAACACTGTCTAAGTGAAGATTGAGAGAGATGCAATATTAAATACTTTAGTTCTTCACTTTTGCCTGCAGAACTAAATACAGAGGGTCTGTGATCAGAAAAGCTTAGGACTTCATAGCCTTCTTTAGAAAAGGGAGGGCCTGCAACTCCAGTTCTAGTAAAAACTGCTCATCCACACACAAAGGGGTGCTGCTGGTCTGATGGATGGCATACAAGCTTTTGTGTTTTGTAATTTGTCTCTGTTAAATTCTTATTTGCCGCACAGCGATGAAGGTTTTTCTCCCAAGTTCAATGAGAGAGATGGAGAAGTGGAGAGGAAGAGTCTGAATGGCTTGTATGTGGTCGAAAACGGGAGACCCCGGTGAGTGTGGGGTTTTTGTTTGTATATTCATTTCAGTGGTGCTGTTTCAGTGCTCTTACAGGTCTGTCAGTTCCAATACATGGTACCTACTAGGACAGAGCCAAGAGAGAAAAACGGAATCTAGTTTGAAGAATCTGAATTGGTGAATGAGAAAAATGTGTTGTGTCTTTCGCCCTTTAGAGCATGTATGTGCTTTAACACAAAATATGTGTTGCTCTCCTTCCCTTTTTTGTTATTTCATCTTGATGTGTGTTTTTTTGAGTTTGTTTTGGTTGGGTTTTTTTGTTTGGTTTTTCTTTTTTTTTGTAGAATGTTTTGAATGTGGGGAAATAAACACATTTAACGTGTTAAGGGTTTGGAAATTTAGCAGAAAATAAACTTCCTTTTGTTTCAGCTGGTCCTCAGAGATCAGAGGAGCTGGGTGTGGCTGGGCTTAATCTCCAGTTGGAGCCAGTTCAGGACTACATGAGTCATGTACTGTGGCATTTGTTTCAGCAATCCAGTGGGAAGGACTGGCCTCACCGGCCGAGGATTGTTAGGGCGCTGGGGACCAAACCATGCTGCTGATCCTGTTGTTACCAGGTAAGGGGCAGGTAACTGCAAGGTACCCTGTGCTAGAGAAAAAAACCCATGCATTTTGCTTCTTTTCTGCTTCTCTGGACTGGATATTACTTTTCATGGGCCTTTTCTCTGTTTGTTTTCTGTTTGTAAGCCCATTCTGCTTTTGTTAATGTAAGAAACACTAACTTGACTTAGTCTATGACAGGAGGAGGTAAGATTAGGATGCTCTTTTTGTCACTGTATGCTTTGTTTGTGTGCTTTTCCAGCAGGATGTGTGTGTACATGCTAACCATTTTACACAAAGTATTCAGAAAAGATTGTGTGGTTAATAGAAGTGAGAGAGTGCCATGCCAAAGACAGAAACATTGTGGAAAGTCATCCTGATGCATTTCACTTCTTCCCTGTTCCTGAAGGATGCCAATGCTGCTGAATTGCTTCGTTGAAAGTGAATGCTGGAATTATTTATTTATTTATTTGTTTATTTTAATTTATTTTAATTTATTTAATTTTTGTTTTAGACAGCTTTTTGCTCTGCCTATTGGTAGTTCTTAGTTGTTTACTGAAGGCGATGGTGGCTGCTTTTGGCTTTGTCCTGGTGCTGCTGCAGCTTGTGTGACCATTCTGTTCCAGCAGAAACATTCTCATCCTCTTAGTATGAATTATCACAAGTGCAGCTTGGAGAGCTTTCAGAGGAGCTGCTGCCACCAGCCTGGCTGCAGAAACATGCCTCATGGGCATTTTCTGCCCTTTTGACTGAGGAAAACCCTCATTGTTCTGTCCTTGGTTGCGATCCTGCTGGATGGCATTTGTTGGTTGCCTCAGCTGTTCATTCTCTGCTTTGTTTATCCCCACGCAGGTTGCAGTGCCTTGCTCTTCCTCTCTCAGGCCCAGGTGTCGGGAAGCAGCAAAACATATTCTTGTTTATCATTTTCTGCAGGTGGAAAAGGGATGGAAGTGGCAATAAAGTTGCTCATCCAGTTTCTGGCAAGAACATCTTGCAGTTTGTAGCCATCAAGAGGAGAGACTGTGGGGAGTGGGCCATTCCAGGGGTAAGACAAAGCTTCAGAGGCAGCTGGCATTTCCCTGCTGGTGAAGCCATGAGACAGATATGGCACATGTGTGATGCAAGTGGATGTAATATACTAAGAGCTAGGAGTTAAAATGTGTAGAGTCTGAGGTATAGCATTGTTTTGTTTGTTTGTTTCCCCCATCCAAGGGGATGGTGGACCCAGGGGAAAAGATCACTGCTACTCTGAAGAGAGAATTTGAGGAGGAGGCCTTGAATTCCCTGCAGAAATCCCCTGAGGAGAAAGCAAAATTGGAGAAGCAGCTCCAGAAGCTGTTCAGCCAGGAACACTTTGTGGTGAGCTCTGTGTCTCTTGTGGTAGCCTTTTGAGCTGTGCATGTAACTCATAGCTGTATAAAACCTGAAGAAGTGCAGTGAAATGAAAATATGTTGTGATGCTCATCTTCTTGGAGTGTAGGAAATTGAAGGGACTGTCGAAAACTCTGTAAGGGCAAATGTCTCAGAAGGAAAGAAAAAAAGTATGACTGATTACACCTTGTTTGTTTTGACACTGAGCTGGTTCTGGTTTGTTCGAGCCCTTATAGGTGTACAGAGGATATGTGGATGACCCTCGTAACACTGATAATGCCTGGATGGAGACAGAGGCTGTGAACTATCATGATGAAACAGGTAAATATCTCCAGGCACGCTCTTAGTTGCCTTTTACTCCATGTGTTGGTTTGAAATTGGGGCTGTTGTTGAGCTGAGAATGGCAGTGAAATCAGGGGAGCAAGAAAGTCAGGTGTAAAATATGGGACTAGATTCTTAAATTGGCCTGTTACCTTGGACTCCCATTTTTCACCTGTAAGATAAATCAATCTACCTAGATGTTTCTGATGTGTTCAAGCCAGAGACTTCATGCAATGACATTTCCACTGAATTTGGGGTAGTGGGTGCCAGTTGTGAAGTTTCACATGTCACCGGTCCTAGATTTATTTGTCCTCCGAAGTAGTGGAGATAGTGCATCTTTGGCCTCTGTTTCCAATACAGAAGAGAAAAGCATTTCCTTGGTTGTTGTTTATGAAGTCCTGAGATCCTTTTTAAAAACAGAGTGAAAACTTGGATAAAAAAAGCAATTCAGAAGCAAAGGAATCCCCTTTTAAAAACTAGTATTTTTTATTTTGGGGCCTTCAGTAAAATTTTAATTTTTTTTTCATAAGTATATATAGGTTTCAGAATTCAGTTTGTCCTGTAGAATAGTATGTGAGAAAAGGAGCAGTCAAATATTAAGCAAACAAGCAAAAATCCAGGCAGATGGATTGGCTAAACTTGGGGTAATAAGTACATGTTGTCATGATGGTTTCCAGTAACTTTTCATGCTGCTGGTGATATCCTAGGAACGATGACAGGGTGTTAAGACCGTTCCTGCCATTCAGATTTGCCTTAAAAAAATGCAAGTCTGAAAAAGGTTTCTGGCAGAGATTCAGTGAGAGATTGAGTTGTTTTTTCTCTGAGAAACCTTTGAAGGTTCCTGCCTGTGAAGGAGCATTGTGGAAAGTCAGAACTAATATGATGTGAGAGGAGAAAAAGCAGGAAGAAAAGGTGCAATGGCATGTTCTAACTCTCATTTTGTGAACAGGTGAGACAATGGATAACTTGCCTTTGGAAGCAGGTGATGATGCTGGAGTGGTGAGGTGGGTTGACATCAGTGAGAAGCTTGAGCTGTATGCGAGTCACAGCTACTTCATCAAGCTGGTGACTGAGAAACAGGGAGCCCACTGGAGTGAGGATCCTGGCTCTGAGTGCCACGAGTGATGGAAACTGGGAACTGACAGACTCTGAAAGGAGAATATGTTTTCCAGCCTTGAAACAGATGTCCTTGTCATCCTCAGTGAAAATTCTGTGAAATTCTCCTTGAAACCAGGAGAAACACTGGACAGTGATAAACAGAGGCTTTTTCAGAGACTTCAGATTGCTTCTTTTGATTTCTTAGCTAGTGTGAAATGAGAAGAATGTGGAGCTCTTGCTTTGCTTTCTTAGCTTCATTATTTGCAGCTGTTTCATAATGTCTGCAGATCTGCATGGCAGCCCTGGCATTCTAACTGGTGGTAGTTCACAGGCTCTTTATTTTTGCACTGATTCCTTTCCAGGAATATGAATCCCTAAGGAATGAGAGACTTGTAGGATAACCTGAATAATGACTTAAGTGCTGCATAATAAAGTGAAATTTCTTTTCTGAGTCATTTTGCTTAACATATCTTTGCAGGGATTTTGTACTTTGAGTGATTAGTTTTCACATTCAATTACTTTTTAGTTTACAGTGTGGCTGGGATTCACATGAATGCGTGACTGTGCCTCTGTGTCAAAGAAGTTGTGACTGATTTGAGGAGCTGAATTTTGTGGTTCCTTTTCTTCCCACGGCTTGTGGGGTACAGTACAGCTGTTGTGGAGACTGCATCATCAACAGAATCACTGGAAAGAGCAGCCTTGAAATATAATCTTGTAAATTGTGCTGGTTTCTCACCCTACAGGTGATGTGAATAACTTGCAGTCAGGAGGCTGATGGGGGCTTTAGCATTTGTGCTGCTAACAGGGGCTGCACAGCAGTTGCTGACACTTCCCTCTCTGTTTTTAATCAATTGCTGTTAATTGTGTACTGGTGTCAGGAGTTGGTGACAGTGACAGCTGAAAGTTGATGTTGAGACCTGAGGACTTCAGGAATTTTGATCCATGGGTTGAAGAGAGTTGGTGATAAATGTCATGGTCTGGAATTACCTTGTGTAGCAGTACTGTGACACACTCATGCACTGTTGAGACTTTATCCACATCCTGCGTAACTAATTAATGGGTTTAGGACTTTCTCCTTTTCAACCCTACCCCTGCCTCCCAATTAGTTAGTGAAACCTGGAGGAGTTATGGGTGTTTATGCAGGAAACCCTGGGAATCTTGCAGAGTTATTAGTGTTCTTTTCAAAGGAAAGGTAGTGTCAAAAGGTATGAATTTTTCTTTCAATCCTTGCTTACCCCTTCCTGCCCGTCTGTTTTCTTCTGTGATGTGCTGCATTGTGCAGAGTAGACTCCCAGCAGTGTAGTTGGATTTTGAAAGCATGATCCATAAGAGCAGAACCTTCTTAGACAGTCAAGGGATGTGGATCTGCAGTCTCTATCTACAGTTTTTAATACTCTTCTTGCATCAGAAAACCACAAAATGTTATGAATCATCACTTCTTCAGTTGTTTTGGGTTATTAGTTTGCTTCTCAGCTGATAAAAACTGCAGGTTTTTTTTGTAACAACCGCTACTATCCTCAGAGAATTGACAGGCTTGGCAGTGGAAATGTGTTATGAAAAGGGTATTTGTTGTTTATTTTTTCATTGTAGATATTCTGACTGTAGCAATGCTGGAGGAGTACTCGGATGATAATACTGAGAGTACTGAAGCTGCAAACTAGAGACAGCATAAATTCTTTTTCCTGAAGAAATGGGAATTTGTGGGTTAAAGTCATTACCTTTTGAGGCCAGCTGTGTACTGGCAGTGTACTTGCAGTTTGAGAGCTGTGTTTCTGCCACCCAACTCTGTCTGGGTTAAACAAAAGACAGAGCAAATAAGCCATAGGCTGCAGCCAGGCTGGAAAAGTGCTGTCAAAATTACTTTCTCTCCCAAGATATTTGAAGTCCCAGAGAAAGGATCTTTTCCAAATGGAACTAGCATAGAGAATGTGCTTTTGTACATGCCATCTAGGCTGAGTTATTTACACTGCTGTGTAATGTTGCAGAATGTGAAGTGAGCAAAAAGTCAGGATTATGGAAAAAAAATGGCAGTTCTAGGAAGCAATCTCTGGTTTGTGTAAGAAGTCCTTGTGTTGAAAATAATCACAGCTTAATTCATTGTATCCCAGGGCATCAGCCTGGCATTGGACAATGATTATCAGCCTTTGCTGGTTCAAGAGCAAATTAGCAGAGGGGGATGGGACTTCCACTATTTAAGCTACCAAAATAGCATTTCTCACTCCCATCTTCTTTTCTTTGGAGAGGTGATGTGGTTCAGGTGAAAGGTGTTTGCTGATCATCCTTTGTGGAAATAGCATTCGGGGCTTTTTCCTTAAAGCAGAATATGCCTGGAATGTTTTCAGTGAAGTGCTTACCTTAAAATCACAAATTTATGGGGATTCAGGAATAATCTCATCCTGTCCTGAGTTTTTTTATGCTTAAATTGTGCCTCTCTTGAGGAGAGCAAAAGGTGGGCTAAGGTGGAAGAAACACAATTTTCTTCAACAAAGTTGTGACGAAACCCATATCTCCAATAGACTTCTATTTTATTTGAGACTTCTATGCAGCGTGTTAGGCTGACAATACAGTAAATAAAGGAAACAGATCCCATTTCAGTGGGTGATACCATCTACATTCTACAATTCTACTGAAGAGTTTTGTGAACAGCTTAGTCATTAGGTTAGTAGTTGTTTATTGGTTCAGAAAGATCATGGATACATGTGGGAGGCAACACTGTTTTTTTAGCTATAAGTAGTTAAATTTTTCTCCTGTTATTGAGTGTAGGAATTTTCTGCACTTGGGTTATTTGATAAGAATTCAGTGATCCTCATTCCACCATTTTCTTGAAGGCTGTTAAACTGTTAATTACAAAAGTAAGCAGGATTCATCAATTTTAGTACAATAGTGGAAGTCTGTTCACTGGGCTCAGAAAAGGAGATTTTCATTTATGTCCTCTGCAACAAAGAAGAAGAAAACATTATTAACATTTTGTGCTGAAGGGACAGTTTTATGCTGTATCACTATCAATAAAGTGACTGATGCTATGAATGAGCAATCACTGGCACAAGTATACATGTACTAAGATAACTCCTTGCAGCTTTCATCCTTCATGGCTGGTAAAGTGTTATCAGAAGAGCTGGAAAAATTCTGGGAAGAGCAAAGGTTCCACGTGTCTGACTTCTGACCAGAATCAGCCTCCACTTAAATTAAGGACTTGCTAGTAGGATTTTAAACACATTTCTTCAGTGTGCTTGTTTGGCCAAATGCCCTCTGTCCCATAACTCTTCTGGGGTTAACCTGTGCTGCGTTGTTAACCCTCTTGACCTTTTGCAGGCTTGTTATTAGTGTTCTGTGTTCCTCTTGGCACTGTGGCCATGGGCTTCTGCTCACAATTTCTTTGCCTTACTTTGAGGTCAGAGTAATGTTCTTGGCAGGAACATTCTGTCAGGTGCATCTGACTATTCTTTTAGGTTTACCTTCCTTAATCCCAAAGCAGTGGCACCATTCCTTCAAAGCAATGAGTTTGTCCTTGTCTCCATCGCACTCCTGGAAGAAACGGGTTATGCAGTGTTCCATGGGAACAAGGGAGGCTCTCAAGGGCGCAAGCTCCGAGTGTGTTAATAATCTGAAAGAAAGGACAGGTATGGAGAGCTGCATTTCCTTCATAAATCAGCAGGATTATCAAAGCTGATCTACAAAGATGCTACAAGACAGCAATGATGGCTTTATCAGAGATGCCCCAGTGGATATTGTTGCAGTGCTTCTGTAGTGAATATGTTCCAGGTCATGATAAAGATGTCTAATATCTGATGAGCTAAGTGCTTTTACTGAATGTTTGTTTGCCAACATCTTTTTTCCTACAACAAGTATTACTTTTGTAGTAATTACAGGTACTGACAGGAGCAACTTGCTCACAACTCATCGCTTGTGGAGTTTTGCTGTTAATCCTCAGTATATAAAGCTTGCAAAATGCTTAACTGTGTTCTAAATGTTCTAAAACAGTAAGTGTGGTTGTCCTGAGATATTGAAGGTCTGAACTTGGAAATACAGATTCCATCACTGGTTGATATGACCAAAACCTTGAAATCTGAGTTATGTTCTCAGAAGGTAGAAGCTTCCTCTGGACTGTGACTATATTTGATCCTTAAACTGACAGATCTTTGTAGTGTTAGCTGAAAATTATGGATACCTCACTAGTGGATTTTTCTGCCAGGGCTCTGTCCTTTGTACTTAGCCTGTTTCTCTTAGCTTCAGTATAACAAGACTTCTTCCTGGCTGAGAGCATTAATAGGTATTAAGACACTGTAGAACTTACAGTGTAATACTTGATTGTGCAAGACAAGAGGATAGCAGATTCTGACCTAAGATATGATCAGGAAAGCAATAAGAGAAAAAGTTCTGTGTTAGAGAGGGGGTGATAATGGCTTCTAACAGCTAAGGGACTCGTTCTGTATGTAGAGAATCCCTTGAGGTGTGTAGAAAAGTAAACTAGCCTCAGTTTAATCAGCAAATCAGAACTGAACCACATATATTTTTTTACCTGTCAACAGGGTGCTGGTCAAGCTGGTGAAACTGCCAGTGCACAGGATACACATACATGTGGTAATTTTTCTCAAAGTCATGCAGGAGCAGCTCAACCGGGTGGTCACCAGCCACAAGGCGCTTGTCGTTCTGATAGATCTTTTTTACCTGAGCTCAACACAGAAATTGTTATTTTTTGCTTCAGGTTGAAGATCTGTCTTGAAGAGAGCTATCTGGCAAGAGGGTGTTTTGGAGAAATGAAACTTGATAATAAAATATCCCTAGGGAAATGTGTTTTAGTGTTGGTGACCATATGCAGCATGAAAAGCTTGCCTTAATAGTCCACGATGTTTTTGCTGCTGTCTGTGTCACCTTTAGCAGTAACTAGAAAGGAAATTCTTGTGAAATTGTGAAATTCTTTTGGTTTAATTCTCAGACTCAGCTAAGGGGGGCAGTAGTCTCAGCATGTTAGGAGATTAAACCAGTTTTATCCCATCTTCTGTCCTGAGGCAAGCAACACATGTTTTGGGGGAAATAAGCCATCCTAGAAGTCATCTAATTGATGCCATTTTGTCTGAGATGTTCTGGGCTAGTCCCTATAACTGCATGGTCTTATTTGACAAGGATTGCTGACCTTATTCCTTTGCTTTTCAGTTAGAATCCCAGAAGTGTTCAGGTCACGTTCATAAAATTGAATAAGGATGTTCTTAAGCCAGTCTCGCATCCGGAGGGGAAACTGATCCACTTCATAATCAGTACAGGGGGGGATGTCTGTGCCAAAGAGAAAAGCTTTGGTTAACAAGTCATCTGTTAAGTCCCCATTCGAGCATTTCTGAGATCTGAGATCTACTTCCAGTAAAAATTAGAATTGATGGAGCTGTTAATACATAAAATTTTGAATGTACCTAATATGTTCAATTAAAAATCTACAATCTTTCTCTACAATCTACTAAAAATCACAATTTTTTTAGTGCACGTGCTTAACCAGTTGTGCAAACCACAACCTTTATATATCTTTGCAGCTTTTGAGCATAATTGTGCAGTGAAGCTCTAATCAGTCACTTGCATGAAAGTAGAGTTTTTGACAGCAAAGGAATATTCTGGCTGGAAATGCACTTTCCTCCTGCCATATGCAGCAGTCAAAGAGGTTGGAAATCAGTTCTGGCTTTTAGATCCTGACTTCTACATTTTGCATCTAAGTTTGGTTGATGTTTTTTAGTTTTTTGTTTTCCATGGGGATTTGAGGGTTAATAAATGAAAATTTATTAACTGGTCAAGAATTTACAAAAATCTTCAAAGGCTATAGCAATAGGAGCATATAAGGCAGTGCAGGGGGAAGATAAAGTCAACAAAAAATTGGTGTGAGCACAGGAGAGATGTCTAGGTTTCAGATAATTTTTAAACATTGAAGACCTTAATTAGCAGATAATTCATGCACAAGTGGCAGATCACAGGAAGAAGGGCAGTTTGGGGCTGGCAGATGTGTTAAAGCTACTGGCTCTTTATACAGAGCTGAATTCTTCAAAGGAAAAGAAGCTTACATTTGCAGGAGCCCATATAGTCTAAGTGCAGCTGGCGTCCTATTTTTGTCCCTTCCAGTTGACATTTGGTGCCAAAGAGCTGACATGTGCCATCATAAGTCTTGTTATCCGTACCACAAACCTAGAGGAAGGAAAACCACCATCCCACTGTGTTGAGAAAAATCCTTGTCACTCGGAGGCATTACAGAAATAAAACATCATTAACATGTGGTGAATACCCACGGGAGTACATGTGATCAGTAGTATTGGAATTAGTTGTTGTTCTGTGCCCTCATGAGGACTAGTTGTCTGTACCTGTATGCCCAGTTATACAACGCTTCAGTTTAGTTCTATGGTTGTAACATAGCCTCTGAGATGCTGTGGGATTATTTCACTGGATGTGAACTAGGCATGTGCTCTAAAATACCAAATGGATACATAGAGTTTTAAGTGACAGGGAAAAGGTAGAATCCCTGAGACCGAGTGAAGCAAGTCAGTCACTCTGCAGTCACATGGGTTCATACTGCTCTCAAACCACACTCAGTGAGTTTGTGTGCTTTATACTTAATTTTTCAATTACTGGAATCACTCAAACTCACTTGCATGCTTTTTAGGGTAGAACATGCTAAATAATAGCAGGGGAATATGTTGTCTTGTGGACACTTTAGGTGGCTTTTCCCAGTCCTGTGCACTGGGTGAAATACTCACATGCTCATAGTCTTTGGTGGGAGGGCAAGCAGCAGGATCTTGGCAAATGCAGTGGGGTTTCCCTTGTTTGTCTGCATGACAGACTTTGCCTCTTTTGCAGTGGAAGTTCCGACATGTGTCTGGCAGTCCTAGCAGGAAAGAGGGACTATTAGAGGTGATGGGATAAAGCCAAGTGTTTGTCAGATACTACTGAGAGCCAAAGCAAAACAGCCCAGTATTCACCAAGAAGTTCAAATGCATTTTTAATTTTGCATTTTTAAGTTTGTTATGAAGCTGGATCTTGTATTGAATAAAACAAGCCGAACTTTAAATTAGAATTTTTTGTGAGACTTCTAGCAGTCCCAGATTTGAATTGGATGGGGAAATTATTATTTGTTTTTAGAAAAAGCTGTTTGTTCTGTAGGGGCTGACATTCAGACATTCACTTCCAGACAACCAGCTTCCTTTGGTGAAACATATCCCATCTGTCTTTGCTAAATCAAGCACTGGCCTTTGTCCCACTCCTACTTGAATTCAAGCTACTGTTCTGAAACTGAAAGCTCTCAGTGCAAGGTAAGCCCCATTTCTGTATCACTGACACAAAAGTTTGTGCACTGCCTACAAATGTTTTTCACTAACAAATTACTAAATCCAAGGGAGTGTGGAAGGGATTCTCTGGGAACATAGGATTACGCACAAGCACAGTTCAGTCACGTGAAATCCTGTGCTGCAAAAGGCAGAAAAGAAATACAGACCAGCAGGTTCCCCAGCGGCAGAGAGTTGGAAGTTGCATGACAGCTTTGCTTGGGGCTTACCAAGGAGACCCTCCTCATTCCTGCTGCTGACACTTTCCATCTGACCATGGGAACTGTCTGTAGTCTTAACCTGCACAGTCACAGAGGCATAAGCAGAAAGTTGTGGTAAATCTTGGGAAGAAAAAAAATACTTGGCCTAATTTTTTTTTTCAGGTCCAAATACAGAGCTGACTGAGGCACAGTTTGCTGTTTTGCTATGCAAAACCTGTGAGAAGAGCATAAAGCCTCTGGTAGTACTACCATGCTCTTGTTATTTGGGGAAAAAATAGAGTATGAGGTGGAGAGAGAGAGAGAGAGAGAAATGGGAACTCAGTAAGGCCTGAATTTCTTATAATTATTCTATTGACTCTAGTCCTGCCTTTCCAAGCTGTTCACTTTTGTGTAGTATCATTTAAAATCTTTGTGAGAGATGAGTGAGCAGGCTGGCCTAGTAAGCTGGAGACTGGGTTTCAGGTTTTTCATCCGTGTATCTGTATTTATTTGTGTGTTTCATTACACACCCCACTGGGTCTGGAGCTCTTATGTGAATGGTGTTCACTTCCTTTCTAGTCCAAATCACCTTAGTGCTCTGGATGCAGTGACACAGCATGAACCAGAGGAACAGTGAGTATGAGGGGAGATGAGACTTCTGCATATTAATAATATTGTCACCTGTTTTTCTCCAACAGGTCATTTCAATAGTCAGGAATTTAAATTTAGAACTGGTTCCTCTCCCCCTTTTTGTAGTACTCAAGTTTTATTTCAAAGATAATTTACCTTATCTTCACTGTCCATTGAATTCATGTTCTGAATGGAGCTACTCATTTTCAGTTGCTGCTTGTTGTCAGAATTGGGTGGCTCATGATCATAGTAATCTTGTTCAGAGTGAGCAAGGTCTTTAATCTTGACAACTTTGTAATCCTCAGTCTCTCTGTGAACTGCAGTGTCATCTTCAATGGTTCCTTCCCCTTCAGGCTCGCTACTGGTGCTCTCCTGGTCGTTACTCTGGATTCTCTCCTCTTCCTCATAGGCTGTTTCTTTCCAGGTATTGCTGAGATATTCCTCACCACCAATGTCACCACTGTCGTGACTGTCCTCATCATTACTGTCTTCCCTATCTTGTGTTTTCCCCACCGCGTCGTGATCGCTCTGGTAGTTCACTTGAATATGGTAGTTTCTCTCTTGACTTTGCTGTTTGCTATCCTGATATTCATTATGGGTTTTTTGAGAGAGGGGGATTTCTTCTTTATAGGACTTCTTCCTGTTCTCCCTCTCTTCTTCCTCTAGGTCAAATTTCTTGCTGTGTCTCTTGGTTTTCCAGGTTAGTTGTCTGGAATCTCTCAGTTCATCATCTAATTGCATGCTGTTCTCATGATCCTGCCTTTTGTATTGGTCACCTTGATGTGTCTGATGGTCTTTGTGCTTTGTGTCTCTGTAATCAGTTTCTTCACCCCATTTCTCGTCCTCTTCTTCCATGCTTTCCTCATCATCGCTTTCACTGTGTTTTTCAGACAGGCCAACAGCATTTTTGTTATATTTCCACATGTTATGCTCATGCTGAAGGCTGAAGGCACCCCCTGGGTGTTCTGTGTGGCCTGGAAGGTGTTGGTTTGCCGTGTTCCCATGTTTCTCATGGTTCCTGAACTGGTCGTGCTCAGAGCTGGACTGTTCTCTGCCGCTGCTCCCAGAGTCACTGTCCTGGGTATCTGAAGCCAAACCTAGTTTATTGTGCAGTGCAAGGAAATCAATGCTTTTCAGGCTGTTTTTCACTTGATGCTTGCTCCCAGTTCTTTCTTTCTTCCTCATGGTCTGGGGCCCATCCCTGTCTTCAGAGCCTGGTTTTAAGTTTCTGGCAGTGGGCAGCAAATCACCCTCGTCTACATACCCTGTGTTCTCTTCCTTTGAAGCTTCTGGATGAATATACTCAGTCTTAAAAAAAATAAAATATCAGATTAATAAACCTTAGTATTTATTTGAAGCTGATGCAGTGTTATTTTTGCCTTGTATTGCAAAGCATGGCACTGGCTTTATTTGTTTTCTTTGTATGTGCTCCTCTTAAACTAGCCTAGGGCACGACATTCACAGCCGATGTGCCTTCTCTTTCTCAGAAAATCTGTTTATCTGTCCTTTCTTTTATTGATGGAAAATCTGGAGATGTCTATCCAACTCTGTTTCAGAGAGAGATGCATATGGGTGTCTTGTGAAATCTCAGAATGCTTAATTAGTATTTTAGTCATAACCATAGGCACTTGTAGACTACAGTAATTATCACTTAGCTCAGAGAAGGGGGATGTGAAACATAACTTCCTGCACAGATAGGGGAAAAATAAGGGACCTGGGAAAAGAGGAGCAGGCAAAGAGAGTACCTCTCACAAGGTGTCATGGTAGTAATTCCTGAGAAGTGCCCTGCAATGATTTTATAATCCACATATAAATCTACTTTGAGTCCAATCTATCATTACTTCCTGGCTGAAGTCACCAAGAACTATCGTGTGTGATGACAAATAAAATCAACAATAGATGTCTGAGTGCCTTTTTTTTCTTATTCTGTCAAGACAATAGCAGAAGGGGTGCCTTCAGTGGAAATGGTTCAAATGCTGAGGAGAAAGCAGGTACTGAAATGACTGTCAGGTCTCGCTGAAGCAATTGCCTTTCTGCTGCTGTGTGTGTTTCTGAAGAACACCTACGGATGTTCAGTGTTGCCTACTGCTTACAAGAATGTAGCACCTGATGCTGATATTTCTTAAAGCTTTTGGGGGGTTTAATTTGGGAAGAATGGTCCTTCTCACTTGGTCCATCCAAGTTGCTGGAATAGCTTTTTTCCTTTAGTTTGACTGCTTGGAAACAAGCACTCTACTCACAAGCATTTATTTTATTTTTGAAGGTAAGATTGAAAATATTAATTTGATTCTGGTAGATCAGCTATATCCTATTTCCTAATGTCACAGTGGTATCTTAACGTTTTACTGTTTTGTCTTTTGCCTGGTTTCCTTGCTGATGTGGAAATAGTACTGGGAACTATATTCACTGTATCAATTCCAACTCTAACTTTTTCAGGGGAAGACTGTATGTCTAACAGAATCTAACAGAGTCTAACAGAATATAACAGAAATTCACTGTAGCTTTTCCAAACTTCTACAGGTTCAGAAAACACAAGGCCAAACAGTCTTTAAGATTTTCTGTTGTGGGTACCTGTGCTTGAAGTAGCAGTTTGAGAAAGATTTGGCTCATGTCTTGACAGGGAGCCTTGTCCTGCACCAGTTCTGCAGAGATGTGCCTGGATACAGCTTCCAGGTGCTGCTTTCTGTTATACCTTTGTCCCCTGGGTAAAATCAGCTCAGAACTCAAGTGCTCGTGAAGGAACTTGGGCAAATTTTATCACTATCTGTGATTAGATACTGTGGGGGAGAGCTGGCTTTTGGTAGATGATGCACACACTTGGAACTGATGATTCACTGGCTATTGTAAGGTTTTGCTTTGATGTGTCTTATGTGTATTATTTCTGGTAGAGAGCTGTAGGCTGCAAACTGATCTTTGTACCATTTCCTCTGCTGGATGCTTCATTAGGAAAAGTTAAATTTTTTGTTTTCATACTGCAGAGCATGATCCAGATTGACATGAAATGTATCTGGAAAGCTGTATAGAGTGGGATATAGTTTATAATTAAAAAAATTTAAAATGGTTAGCATAAGAGTTGGGATTTTGAATCTCTTACTACAGAGCATGATATGAGTTTAGTAGTTCTGGAACCCCCAGTGGCTTGGAGATAAGATCCATTGTGTCTGAGTCACAAAGGCTCAGAGCAATAAACAGGAATTTTTATTTGGGTCAGCCATGAATGCAAAACTATGGGCTTCACCATTAGCACACAAATGTGGCACAGGGAGGGCTGGTGCAATCCTCTGTCTCATTGTCACCAGGGCATGTGGCCTGTCAGCCACAGATTACTCTGCCAGGACAAGCTGTGTCCAATGCTCTGCACCATGAATAGTGAAACATATGGTGGCTAAAATTCTTACATATTTGAGACTGCATGTGATCCCCTGGTGTGATAAATTGAGGGTTTCATCCTCCTCCTATACTGGAGCTGTGATAACAACAATTTTGTCACTGGAGCTTATTACTTGTGCAAATATGGTAATGATGATATGTGGGGATTCATTTAAGGCAATTTTCTCAATAAGTGAATCTTCCATTTTGAGCTTTAGATTTTGTCCTGCTTGCAATTGTTAATATGCAAGGCATGAGATACTTGGCACTAATTCTTGAGGTGAGAGGGCCTACAGTTTTTTAACATAAATCAATTTGCTAAGCAATATGTATGTGGTAATGTGTTTTTATATTTAAGATTAATAATGTCAGTTACTTCCTATTGTTTAAAGAACAAGAAGAGTACCTTTTCTGGAGTTTTCTGTCTGTGAGTTCTGAGCTTGTGGTTTACAGGATGGATCTAAAAAAGACAAATATATGAATACCTGCACATCCATAAGCATAGAATATTCTCAGAATAGGAAATTAAGTGCCTGATAATAATAGCATGGTGAGGACTTACTGAAATAGCAAAAACTGGTCCTACAAGGCAAATGAAGAGGGCTACAGCCTTCATGTTTTCCAGATCTTGTAGAGGACAATAGTTAATGGTACAGGGGTAGAGCTTAGAGGTTTCCTTTCTGCAAAAAACATGAAAACAAAACAGATTAGGATTTGGGTATAATCACCTAGAAATGTCTGATGGAAGCAATGTAGTTGTTCCCATAAATTGTTAAGGCTAGAGACCCACAAAATTGTTGTGCAGTGTCCTGTAAACTCAGATGTGAGTCCGGCTTAACTAGAGGACACTTTAGTCTCAGTTCTTTGACAGTGATTAAGCTATAGGCTGTGTTCACAAACTCCAGGTGGGTGTTTCTGAGAGGCAGAGCTGTGAACGGACATAGGTTAAGTATTTAAATACTTACAGATAGTTGTAAGTACTTATCCACCCCTATGAGATACCACTTTGTGAAAAATGCCTCTTTTTATTGAGGGCAATAAAGTGAGGCAGTGCGTGCTTGTGGCACCTCTGCAGCTGAGGTGTCTCTTGGCTGATCCCCTCTGTGTCTGGTAGGAAGAGTTAGGTGGTGAAATTCTGCTCAGCAGGTCTCCAAGCTCAGAAGTGCTGCCCAGGTGGCTGGAAGAAGGGGTGCAGTCCTGCTTCTGTGTTTTCTTGGAAATTGTCACCCAAAGTGTACACTTTTGGAAGATCCCTCTCTTAAACAGTGTTTAATGTAATTATGTTCCCTTAATGAAGATCAAAATACTCATTAGTGGGGCATATCTTGTATGCAGTCCATTTTTCCTTGCAGTTAGTCTCCAAATTAAGTCTTGACTAATTATCTATTATCTCTTTGGCATTCACAGTTAGTTGTCCAAGATGTTTTCAGAGGGAAAGGCAGAATACAACAAAAGCCAGTAATGAGCACATGCAAAATGCCTCACTGGGCTGGATATGGGCAGTCACTTCAGATCAGGGCAAGTGTGGTTAGACTGAGGATTATGCAGGCAACTTGTCAGAAATTCAGGGCAATAATCCAACTTCATGTAAAGCCCTAAAAACTGCATACTGTGCTTTTTGAAGGCCTTGCAAGTGACTGAGGAGAAGGATTTGAATGTCAGGTAGGCTTGATTTCCATTTCTTTCTGTTGCTGGTGAGCAACACAGACCTGGGCATGTCGCTTAACTGAGTTTCCTTTTATAAAACTCTCATTTGTCATATTTGTTTTGGTAAACTAGTTTGAGAGTTATAAAAGAAAAGTTCTCCATGTTGTGTTTTATTTATAATTGCAATTTTATAATTTGGCTTGTCTCTATCTGTAAATGTTGCCTCTACCACCTTTGCTCAAATAATCAAAAACTAGTTGGAATAAATCTGAGTTAAGGTGGCAGGACAGGGCTTTTGTATTTTCTTTTTAACAGCAAGCCTGCAGCAGCCCATAGGAAGTATAAGGCTTGAATTAAGTATTTGGTCTTGAATAAGTATTAAATTATTAGGGAAGCCTGACCACACTGATTGGAGTGTCCTATGATGGATTGTGAGATGATATTTTTTACACTAAGTGGGAAGTTTCATTCTTGCTTTAATTTCCAAATATGTCCTAGAAAAGAATTTTTAAAAGCAATCTTTTGTAACACGTAAGTTTAATACAACTGTCAGAAAGGAACAATTACACAAGAAACTTCTTCAAAAAATATGAGCAGGGAGATATCTCTCTGGGAAAGTAAAATCATTATACTCTGCAGGAGAATTTGTAGCAAGACCTAGCCAAAAGGTGAATAGGAAAATTTCTTGTGTACAATGGGGTTTTTGACAAAGAAATGAGTAATTCAACTATACTTCATCTTGGGTTATTGAGCAAGCAATGCTGACAAGGGATGCTGGGTTTGCATGGCATGGAGGCTACAGGCTGCCGTTCTAATAGAGTCAGCAGTCACTTGAAATACTAATCAATTACATGAATCTTTAATAAAAGCATAAGTGTGATACTTTTAAATTACAACTGATATAGCACATTCCTGTCTCCAGATCTGTTTCAAAAGCCCCTTGTGAGAGCATGAGCACATTATACATGTAGAAGCTGGTTCATGTGTGCACACACATAAAACTCATCTGCAGATTTTGATGCAGATTTCTGATCTGAGTAAAAGAAGAGATCACAAAAAGGAAAAAAAAATTAAAGCATTAAAACTATTTCACTCATTCTGTACCAGTAAATAGCTGATAATGAGAATTGATCCCTCTGATGCTGCCAGTTTTACAGCTGCAAAAGCCATCGGACATAAGTCCTTGATGGCTGACTGCAATAAGATCAAAACCAAACCAAAAGTATTTCAGGACAAGTTAAAACAATTTTTAACAAACCATTCACATTAACTTACTGTAATTGTTTAATCTCTTATGTTTCCTTTCTACCATTTAATTTTATTTTATACTTGCGTAGATCTTGTTAGATCTTTAGAGATTTGGTTTTTTGGGTTGGTTGTTTTGGTTTTTTTTCAACCAGAGCTGTCTGTAATTTAAGACCGGATCAAGTCACAATGAGCTGCTTTGATTTAATTTGAGGAGGATCAAAATGAGACTTACTTATTGTGCAGAATTATTTTGATATTAGTTGGTGGGTTTTGTCTTCTCCCAGATCCTGCATTTCTTTCAAGGGTTCCCTGTTTGGTACATGTTTTCACTAGGTCTACCAACACGTTCTTGAAAGGTTCCTCCAAGACCAGCCAGCATTTCTCGCTCTTTCTTTTCCAATATGAGAAAAGAAGGTGAATCTGTTTTTTTGGTCTTGTCTATTGGACTAAGGTTCCTGAACTGATATTTCAAGAGACTGTTGAAGGGAAATTAGGTTGCACTGTGGCTTTCAGCTGGACCGCTGTACCGGTTCCAAAGGAGGTGTGTGCTTTTCTTGGCTCTTGTTGGCCATAATGCTTTATTGCTTTGCAGGATCACTGGAAAAATAATTATTCCAGTGGTAAGATAAGGGTTGTGTTCCTAAACACAGAAACTACACATTATTTTCTCTTACAAAGGTAATTTTCTGTTCTAGACATAAACATCTGAAATGTGTTATCCTTAAAACAGATGACACTCTATGAAAGCTTCAGCTCTTTTGTAGTCAGTGGAAAAAAATTGCAGAGGGTTAGATATAAAGCATTCTAAAGTTTAAATTAAGAATAAAGAAGAAACAGTACCATAGCAGTAGAAGAGGTGCTCCTTCTTGGCCTGCCACTGATGTACCAGAAATCCTTGAGCCTTGCAAAATGTGGCTGCTTTTCCTGAGATGTGTTTTGGTGTCTGGAGCAGACCTTCTCAGCATGTGCCTTGCGCTGCAAGTGTCAGTGAAGGAGGATGGTACTCTTTGGGTCTTGGGTGAGCAAGGACTCCTAGGCTTCCATGGGGTGAGGTGGGGGCAGTGGGCTGGTGGAATTCTGGTGGATTATTGAATCAGAAAGACAATTCAGCGCTCACGGGCTCTGGGCCAGCGGAGCTCAGCGGCTGTGTGGGAAGGACATATTTAGTGATTTGCAGGGAGGGGAGCCAAAGGGAGCGGGTGCAAGAGTTTCTGCTGCATCAGCTGCTCCCAGAAGCGCTGAACCAAGGGATCTGCTGGGGCAGCCACACTGTTGGCTGGAAAAGTGGAACACAGGGGATGCCAGCCCCTGCTGAACTGCCCAGTGCTGTTTCAGTATGGTGCACATGGTGCGTGTGAGCCTGCAGAAAGGTAGAAATTCTAAATTAGGTATGTAAAACTCAGTATTGGTTGGAGACTCTTGCATAACTGAGGAGTTTGCTGTTTGGAAGCTGTTGCTATGGCTGTGCTGCCTGTCTGCCATCAGAGCGAGCTGGTGAGGGGTGTGGAAACCTCCATGAGCCTCTGCAGCAGAGGCTTTGTGGCTTCTGGTTCTGCAAGCATTAATAAGTTTATTCTTTTTTTTTTTTTTGGTCATCTCATTATTCCATAAAATGCTCCACCATAACTGGAATGCTTTCTGGGAAGTTGTCCAAAAATAGTGGAGGGGATGCACCAGTGTAAGGGCAAAAGCACTTCCAGTGATAAAGGCAGCAATCCAGTCTCAAATTCCACATTCTGCCAATATCCTTTCTTCCTAAGGAGGGCACTTTACATATTGTGTTGACATGATTGGAAGAGAGGTTGAAGCAAAATGAAATGAAATACGCGAATGGTAAGAACTGTAATGCAAATGCTGAAAATTCAGTCCCTTTAGATAATATTTTAATTTGTTCTTTTTAAAGTTACAATTTTTGGCTTCTCTTCTGTTCACCCAAAATGGCAATAGACAATGGGTGTTGATTAGAAAAAATACAGTGAGAAACACTCACACTGTACAAACATTTACCATGTTTTATGTGGCCAACTGTGAAGTTTATAGTTAATAAAAAAATTTTTAAAAAACCAAAAGAGCCTGAAATCAGAGCTGAGCCCTCACTCTGTAGACCAAGCAGAAAAAACCCCCTTTGACAAAAGTCCATGAGAAATTCTTTAAATCCTTTTCCCTTTTATCTCTGCTTCTCTGCCTGGAAACTAATCCATGCCTATTGGAGTTGAAATTCTGCTTGTCTGTCAGCCAGTCGGTGCCTGAAAGGAGTGGGCATTATTTCAGAACTTCCTGTTTGTTTTTTCTTTTGTTGTGCATGCTGAAAAGATGATTGGTTTTATCTATTCAAAACTCTTTGTGCTGTACCATCAGATTAGCTTTACTGGGTTATCAAAGATAAGTGGCTTTGCTGTGATTTTTCAGTGTTTGAGATATGGATGGACTCTCAGCTGATATAAGAAAATTGTTCAGGTGGCAACCCAGAAATTAGGACAAGTACAGCAATGTTAATTTTATGGTAACTAAATGTATGAAGTCTTTTTGTCATAAGATTTTCTGATAATGGCTATTAACCTTGCCTTGAAGTTTTTAATTCACAGAAAAAAGTGCTGGGCTCTCAAGAACTGTGCAGAAACTTGAAGTGGAAATTTGTAGGAGTTTGAAGGTTATTATTGGAAAACTGTATGTGATTTGTAGGCTTTGTCTGATTCTGTGTTTAAACATCTTTCTTGGGCATTGCAGGACAGTGGGGAGGAAACATTTTGGTTTGGAGGATACTGAGGAATTATTGCTTATCAGAGCTGTTACATATTTACAAAATACTTCATTAAGCAAAATCTTCAATCTTTGCTTTTGATGAAAAAATGCTTCAGTTGAGAACATCTCTGGTTGTTTTCTGATGTCGCTGAGAGGTCTGGGCTTGTCCCAGTGCTGCAGTCCTCAGCCAGTCCCACTGTGTCGGGCACTGTGCTGTTTGGAAACCTTTCCAGTGGAGGATTAGTAATTCCCTAACCAGAAACAGGTGCTGGGCTATTGAGGTGAGGTATGGGGGGAAGAGGGGAGGCAAGCAGTTGCTGAGCTAAGTGAAAGGGAGGATATACAGCAAACAATAAAGATTAAACATAGAAGAAAGAAAACAGAGGAGTACAGGGAGGTGAAAAAATCTGATTTATCTGTCTCACTGTGGCAGCTGCTAGACAGACACTTTAAACAAAGGAAGAAGAGCAAAACCTTCGAGGATTTTGTGTTATATTTATTAATGTACCCATCTCTGGCAGCAATGATCTGTGTGTCAAACTGACTGTGGATTAGGCTCAAAAGACATTTGTTTTTATTGGAGCTGTCTGCCCTTTTGCATGCTCACTCCTGCCAGAGGGTTCCTATTTCTGCCCACAAGAGAGTGGTGTTGAGCCATTGGCTTCCAGACCACGTACCAGGCTTCAACTTCCAGGTTTTTAAAATGAAAAGTAAATTTTAACATCAGTGTGTGACAGTGGTCACAGCAGTTTTCAGGATGAGGGAAGAGACGTAGATCTGACTCCATATTTCAGAAGGCTTGATTTATTATTTTATGATATATATTATATTATAACTATAGTAAAGAATAGAAGGAAAAGTTTCATCTTAGAAAGCTAGCTAAGCTAAGAATATAAAGGAATGAATAACAAAGTTTTGTGTCTCGGACAGAGAGTCCAAGTTAACTGGACTGTGGTTGGCCATTAATTGTAAACATCCAAGATGGGCCAATCACAGATGCACCTGTTGCATTCCACAGCAGCAGATAACCATTGTTTACATTTTGTTCCTGGAGCCTCTCAGCTTCTCAGGAACAAAAAATCCTAAGAAAGGATTTTCATAAAAAGATGTCTGCGACATCAGTGCTCATTCTGATCTACAAATAAAGTTTGGCTGTTCCATCAAATATGCTTTACCCCAAAATGAAAAGGTGTGTAGGCAAGGTGGAACTCAAGTGTTTTAGTGTAGATAAAGAAACTGTGCACATATACTGGCTATTATATCAACGATATAATACCTAGCTGTGTGTCTATGTGTTTTCGCTTTTTACTACAGAGATAAAAACCAGCAAAATGAACCACAAGACAACAGTCAGACATGAAACAGTTGAGTCTGATTGCAATCAGTGCTGGTACATGTGTGCTGTGGAGTTCCAGGTGGTGAAGATCACAGCCTGCCAGGTGCTGTTGAGAGGGCTCTGAGCACATCCCTGGTTGCCTCTTAGCCATTAAATAAGTGATCGGGAGATTTAGGGACATCTCAGTGTAACTTCCTTAACAAAAGGTGCATCTGAAGCCTTTCATGAGCTGATGAAATGGCCTTCATTTAGATATCCATAGGAATTATTTAGATTCCCAAAAGATCACAGCCTGTAGCAACTCCCATTGGAAATGTTGGCAAGTACTGCTTGTCCTTTCCTACTGGAAATAATTGATAAGGTTCATGTGGACCATAGAGACATTTCATGGGGAGTTTAGTTTTCTTGAGAAAGGTAGAAAAATTGGTTGCAGACAGTGCTGGGGGTAGGAGGGAGTTGATGCCTCTGACCAGTTCTGTTCAGTTGTGCCACACCAAAAGAATACTGGAGATGGGAGCCTTCTATCCCTTATTTTTGGGGAGGCAGGAGAATATCAGTTGTGGCTCTTTAGGTATATTATAGTAGTGATTCTGCCCAGGAAGTTTGCCCATGTATTTTTGCATGCATTTCTTAATTACTTTATCTATCAAAAAAAATCACTGATAATTATAGTAAATATAATATATAGATGTGCACATAGACAAATATAAGTTATAACCCCTGGACTAAGTAGTATTGGTACATTACTCCTTTTCTCTTTCCTCATAAGAAAGAAAGCTTGACTTCCTTCTGGAGGCTTCTTGTGCTGAATTTGGAATTAAGATTTTTGTATTCTGGGAAATGAATTATTGGCACAGTTTTTTTTTACTCTAAAGGCTGCCCTTCTCTACCATCTTTTTTGTCTCCAAAGGCAATGCCTGGAGTCCTTTTAAGATTAGCAAGCATCTCTGGAACATAATAATAAATGCATATGAGCTGCTGCTGAGTATATTGAAACTCAGTTATCTCCCAAGAGCTTTACAGAAAAAATCTCACAAAGTGTGACTTATCATTAAAAACTTTTAAAAAATCACAGAGATGTGAAGTTAAAGGTCTTCCTCTTTGTTCTTTTTGTGGCCTGCTACTTGGTCAGTTCTGCATCTAAAATCAGATTCTCTTGAATACAGATGATGTGGTTGCAATTTATTTTTTGCTCTAATCCAGGAGCCCTCCCTCACCAGTGTTTTATTCTATACAGCAGTAGTTCTGCCTACTTTCACATTCCAATTTTTTTATTGCACTGAGTTTTCCAGCCCTTCAGCAGTCTCAGTCAGTCAAAACCTTGTTGCGGCTTTGTATTTCTTATTCTCCCTGTGTTAAATGCTGTATGGGATGCAGTTCTGTCTGGGATTTTCGTGATGCCTGGGAAGACAAGAAGTTCCAGGCAGAGCTCCTGTTCCCTGGATGTATGGGATGAGTCATGCTTCCTGGTGTGTGAGAGCAGCTCCAAACAGGGCCCAGGCTCCAGCACGGCCGCCCCTGTGCTGCTGCTATATCAGGCTCTGTCTGTGATGCAGTCAGCGTGTTAGAGACTCCCATCCCTCTCTCCTGAGAGCTGCTGCTCTTGACTTTGTCATGCTTGACCACAGTGCCTGCATAGGGTGAAATTATATGTTTAAAAAGGAGGGAGAGAAATAAACATCTTGCCCAGCCGGGGAACATTTGAGTCCCGTTGGGGAGGAGCTATTTTAAAGCTCAGACTGAAAGATGTCTATTTTTGCCCTTCAGCCAGACAGACTCAGCTAATAGTCTAAATTGTTCAAACCATTTTCTTGACCAAATTCTTAAAAAGAGGAATGAAAATGAGCAGGAAGAGTGCTTAAGCCAGCAAGAGGTAGCCAGGGCTCAAACCTGAAAAGATTTTATCTATACCCTTCTGTTCTTTGGGGCTGTAGAGATGCGCTTTATTTTTATAGTTGTAGTGTACATTTGCTTTAATAATGAGCCAAAGAGATTAAGTTCAGTGTGAGGATTTTAAGAGCAATACTGCTGAAAACACATTGTGGAGGTTGTGCAGTCTCCGCATGTGTCTCTTGAGCAGTTGGTTATTTCACTCAATCATTTCAGATGCACAGAAAATGGCTGGAGGCTTTTGGGGAAGTGTAACACAGCCAGGACTGCTTATTGTGGCTCATCTTGCCTGTTTCTGATGTTCTGCTGAGCCCTTTCCTAAAAACTGCCTGTGTAGATGGGTTTAAATCTTAGGATAGGGAAAAAAACAAGTTTTATATTATGCATGGGTGCCATTTAATTGGATTTCCAACCTGACTGCCCTGTGAAGCAATTATGCAGCTGTTTGAGAGCACCATGAAGCAAATATAAGTGGGGGAAAAAGCCAAGTCCACTTGTGACGGGTAATCTGATGTAAAAAGTACACACAAAGGAGTTTGTCAAGGTTGTTTATTTAGTGAGTGCTGTGATCTTTGGTGGTGACAGAAAGGCAATGAATCTGGTGAAGGGTCTGGAGCACAAGTCTGTTGAGCAATGGCTGAGGGAGCTGGGGGTGTTTAGCCTGGAAAAAAGGAGGCTCAAGGGAAACCTTATCAGTCTCAACAACTGCCTGAAAGGAGGGTATAGCCAGGAGGGGGGCAGTCTCTTCTCCCCAGCAACCAGTGACAGGACAAGAAGGTGCCTCCAGCTGTGCCAGGGGAGGTTTAGGCTGTAAATTAGGAAGAATTTATTCACAAGAAAGGATGATTGGACATTGGAGTGGGCTGCCCAGGGACATGGTGGAGTCACCATCACTGGAGCTGTTTATGGAAGGAATGGGTGTGGCACTTGGTGCCATGGTCTGGTTGGCATGGTGGTATTTGGTCACAGGTTGGACTTGATGGTTGCTGAGGTCTTTTCCAAACTTAGTGATTCTGTGACACGCAGAAAGCCTTGGGCCATAAGAAGACAAGGATTGTGAAAGATTGCAATTAATCTGTTCCTTGTTATTTCAGGAACAGCATGGTCTTAGTATGGAGTGTCATCCTCTCCTGTCATGGTCCTGGTTCTGCTGATATTCCTTATAGTGTGTGACTTGTTTCAGCTCTAATGTTGGGCCTGTCTTCCTCAGGAATCAGAAAAACCCAAGTGTGATTTTGTACAGCTAAACAAGCCTTTCCTGCTCCTTGGCCTTTCTTACCCTGTTTCCAAGTCAGCATTTCAGAGAGCTTCCCTCACCCCTGGGAGCTTGGGGATATTGAGGAATTATTGCTTATCAGAGCAAATGCCCCCCTTGGGGCATTTTGGCTTGGCTATAGGCAGCTAGGAATTTCCCTGAATCAGAAAGCTGCTTTTAGGATTTTCAGGGCCCAGGAGAGTTTTGGTACCCTCCCCATGGCATTGTGTCCCCAGTTTCTGGGTGATTGCCCCCCTCTTCCCTCAGGTTTTTCACCTTGCTTTGTGCATCCTCAACTCCATGCAACTGCCTGTTCCTCAAATAGAAATAAATACTGAGGAGAGTGAGTTATTCATGCCAGCACAAAGGTCAGGCTGCTATCAAACCTGCCATCTGCGTGTGTGATGTCTCACAGCCTCTCGAAAGACAGAAACGGGGCTGTGGGTGAGTGGGTGTAATGTCTGTAATGTCTGTAATGTCTGTTGTTCAGCCAGCCAGGGGTTTAAAAATACCACTTGTGAATGACCTGATGAGAGCAGTTTTAGAAGGCAATCCACAACCAGCACATTTCAGTTTTCTGATGGGAAAGGTATTTGAAGAGGTGTTTATATCAAAACAAAATTTACTAAACAAGAAGGGAATAGGACACTGAGGGGAGATAAATATCCATGGTGGAGTGGCTGGTGGCTTTCACTGCAGTTCTAATGCCTGTTTGGGGTCAGTCAGGGCACTGGATTTGTACTGGGGAGAGGGGAGCAGAGGGGCAATGAGATGGGTGATCAAAGACTGGTTTTCATTTCCAAGCACCCTTCTCTAGCGCTGTAGCAACAACTTCCTGTCTATATGAATTATGCTAATTTCAGTGCTGAGAAATCCAAAAATAGCTGAGGAGAGAGGAATCAAATTATAGTTTTGCCATGGGATGAGGCAGTGGGAAGGAAAAGTATGCTGTACCTTCTCCCCATGTGTGGGCATGGGTGCCTGTCTCCCTGTGCTCAGAAGGAAGCAGGACCCAAACTGGGAGCAAGCCAAGCACTTGTGTGGAAGTGTCACCTTGTAGAGATCTCTGGCTGTTGCCTACTTTGCCCCAGAAATTCATCTCCTGAGGTCCACAGCCATTAAAGAACAGCTTGTCAGCAGCGCCCCACATTGTGTAGAGCAAGACCTCCATGGCCACTTCATTTCAGAACCTAATCATTACAGAAAAGGAAAGAAAGGATAATAACTTGGAATTTTTCTACATTTAAAATTCTCCATAATACTATAAATTTTCTAGTTTCTTTGTTATCCCCTAAAGGCATAAGTCTCAGCCCAAGTTCCAGTGAGCTGTGCATCACTCTGGAGTCTGCAGTGCCTAGCCCATGCCCAACTCTTGCTCCCACATGTCAGCCCCCCTGTGCTGCATCCCACACCTCCATCATGGAGCATTTCCCTGTGCTGCACCACTGTGATGGAATCATGACTATTAGCCCCTTGTTGGCGGTGGGGCTGTCCTGGTACAGCACAACAAGGGCTGGGTTTGTTAATGGGAAGTGGCTTTTCTGGAAAATATCACAACCTGAGTGGGGTTTGATGATGCCTCTTTGAGTGCACTAATGCTCGGCTAGCTCACATGGCTTTGTTTTGGGTTTTGGTTTCATTGAAATGAAAAAAAAAAGGGGGAAGTGAATCAAACTGAAACCTCCCTTTATTCTATTTATTTTTCAGTTGGAGGGAACGGAAAGATTTGAGCTTACCTGCTGGAGCACATTAGTCATGTGAAGAGATGACGGCTGTGGGCATGGGCAAGATTTGAGCATGGGCTGGGTTGTGAAGTGCTTAATCCCACAGTGCTGAGAGGACTGTGTGTGAGATGGATCAGCTTTTGTGATTCTGGCCTGATTTCTTCGATAAGGAGTGCCAAGACCCTGCTGAAGGTAAAAGGATGCCCTGGCACATAAGCTGGCTGACACTTCCAGCGATCCTGCGTGGTTGGGCAGACAGAGGAAGTCCTTTCATGGCTTTGCATTCCCATTTGGGTTGGTTCTGGGGAGGAGCCTGGTGGAAGACAGAGGTGGTGATGCAACTTCCTCGTAGAAAGCCACAAAGCGTACCATGTAATTACATCTGGGCAGAGCAGGGCTGCCCCCACAGCACAGTTACGTACGTGACTGGAGCAGACAGTGCTGGAATTTGCAGATATGTCAGGAGTCAGAAATACTAGAAACCCTCAGGAAAGGTTTTGTCAATAACTGAAGCCCTGAAGTTACTAAAAAAAGTTGGAGGGGAGCTTTGTGTTCCTGCTCCTGCTGTGGGACCATGCAGGTAGGGAAGAGGCAGCACATGTTCTCAACCGTGCTTCCCCATTCAGCACCTTGCTCTCATTTGTTTGCATCAGTCTTCCCAGCTTGCATATCAAACATATTTTCACCCCTTTTTGTTTGTGACTGGTTATGCAAAATCAAATTCTGTGCACAAGAGTCAATGCTTACCCAGTATTCATTTCTTATAAGCTTTTTTTAAAAGATTCCTGCTCCTAATCTCTTGTGCAATAATCTTTTGTGCATTCAGTGTTCAGAAAAAAAAACCACCAGTAATGAAAGAGTATTCCAGCAGGAATAGTGAAGAGGAACTAGACTGAGTCAAAAGGTATTGACTGTCATGTGCAATCACACATATGCAGCTGCTTTGAGGTATACCATTGAATTCTACTGGAAGTTTAACAGAGTGTGAATGAGTTGTGTAAGAATTCATCTGTCATTTACAGATGCTCATTGAAGGTGATTGGTATGAAATGACAAAGAACATCCTGGGGGGGCTGGGGGAATGGTTAGGAAGTTTTATTTATTGGTAAATCAAACAATGAAGAGTGTTGAAGTCATCATGGAAGAGTGAAGGCTGGATCCAGCCTTTGTGACTGGTATCTATATTGGATGAATTGACTACTGAGGGAATAAGGTGAAGATCTCATAATTGTAGGTCTTAAAAGCAATCAGCTTCAATTCCTACTGCAGTCCCCGTGAAAGTGGAGCAGAAATGCAGATCCCTGCCTCCGGATCAGGGGTGGCTGCTGTCAGTTGCCATGGTGATGTTCCCTTGCTGTATTTTAAGGTGCTGGAGTCAGCTGTGCCCAGCTTCCCTGGGAAATGCACACCAGCGTTTTGGCTGCTGGCTGAATGCTGATACAGGTTTGTCACCAACAGTCCCACATACTGTTTTCAGGAAAACAACATCCAGTAAGCAATTCCAGATTTTTCTTTGTTGCTCTGATATTCAGAACACACTTATACTGCTTAAGCTTGGCCTGCCGCTCCCCCAGTATTTAATGACCTTTTTGGGAACCACGGAAAACCAAGAAACATCTCCTTGGATTTAATACTTGCTGAAAAGAAGTTTATCATAAGCATGTAGATTCCTGTATAGAGTAACTTCTATGGGATTTTTGTTGCATAGACCTTTGTGCAATAAGGAATATTGTGGAAGATGTGGGTACAGCACCCACATAATAATAGTTAATAAAAAGTTAGATTGTGAACCAAATGAAAGTCACCAGATGTGTGATGTGCTATGCTTTTATTTTCTGAGGTTGTATTAGTTGAGACTTCTCTGGCTTTGTGAGTTGTTTGGCATTGCTTAGGTTTTGGTAGTGAGGGGTTTCAGGTTTGGTATTTTTTGGTGGTGTTGTTGTTTTTTTTTTTTTTTTTTGTGTTTGGTTTTTTTGCCTTTTTTTGTTTGGTTGTTTTTTTTTTTTTTTTGGTTCCTTATATTATTTTTTTTAAAGTTATTAGGATTTTGAGGATTCAAATGTCCTTTGGAGGTATGAGCCAAATTGCTGATGATCTCTTGCTCAGAGCTGCACTGATGGTGTCAGTTTTTCCAGGCTCCCAGGGGACTGTGGTAGCGCTTCCTGTCCAGCTACACCGAGCAGCAATAAATTTAGCCCGAGTGAGCCACAATGACAGTACAGGAATCAGAGGGCTCCTGACTGCTCTCCAAGAGGGTCTGGCTTTCCATACAGACATCTTCATCCCTCAAGCTGCCCCCCTGTCCTGGCTTCTCTGCTCCCTCTGGGCACCTTGTGCTTCCACATTACCTGTTTGCACTCCTGCAGTGCCTAGAATCATGCAATCATTTCCACCACTTGTTTTCTTCTGATGTTTTTTTCCCCTCCAACAAGAAATCAGGGTGCTCTGACTCAGGAGACAGACACACACCTGACCTGCACAAACAGCACAACTGCCCCTATGTCACCCTGATGTGATCAGGGGCAAGGCTGGCCCCTGATCGCTGCTGTATTTTCCTTCCTGAGAGCACTGACACTATGCTGCTTTCCAGATCTTTGCAATTCCAGTTGGATGGGAGCAAGCACAGGGTGAAAGCTGCAGAAAGCTTTTCATATTAAGGCTGCATTATTGTTCCACTTCCAGCTTGTGATTGACAAACACTTACTGCTGCGACCTCCCAAGGGGTTGAATTGTGAGCAGGAAGTGATTGTAAAAGATATTGTACTCTGAGTGAGATGTTAGGAGCTGTAATTGCCCTCCAGTGTCTCTATGATTACTGCTGTCAGTGCTGAGCTATCGACAGCCCAGTGTTACTGGAGCTACCTGGTGGCTGTGCCAGCATTGTCAGAACAGGTCCCTGCTGTGAGGCAGAGCTGAGCATCTGTCCCTGCCCTTGTTTTGACTGAGGGCAGCAAGATGCAGCAGTGCCTGTGTGCAGGAAGGTGTGCTGGATCTGAAAGTGGCCAGGCAGAAATGAGACATCCTTATCCACACCCGATGAAGTCACAGCCTCAAATTAGTGAATTCAGCCAAGTTGATGGATGAATATAGATTTATAGAAACTGACAATCCAGTCACACACATCTGGGAGGGATGGCACAAAGCACTTGTCCAGCCATGAGCTCCACTGCAGTGGGCATGATGTGGATAGCAGTTATTGCTCCATGTGTTTTGCTTTGGCAAAAGTGGCACAGAGCAGGTGCAACACCTGTGAGACTTTGTCCCAACAGACCATTGGGGCGATACGCTGCTTTTGCTGGAGGTCATTGCTCAGAGCAGGAGGTAGAAAAATGCTATAAATAGACATATATAGAGTGTGAGGCTGGCACAGGAGGTGGGAAGTGAGGGATTTGGGGAGCTTGCCTTGCACGGGTTTGGGGAAAGGGCATGGTGCATCTTGTGAGTAGGATAAGGTTGGCAGCTCCCTTCGACAGCATCACAGAGACTTTAAACAATCTGTGATGTCTGAAATAGGTGCCTGAAATAAAGCAAATGACTGGTGCCTTTAAAGTGCCTTTTTTCTCTGGCTGTAGAGGAAACTCCATGGTGGACATGGAATAGGGTTAATGATCCTTCCCCTGTGCTGACAGGACGCCAGGGGAGAGGGCTGTTGGTTTTATGCAGAGGTCTAGCATTAGAAGGGGCCTTGTGTGTGTCTGTATTTCAGGGCCCCTGGACTCTGGCTCCTGTGAGATACTCTTTTCCAGCAAGGAGAAGTAGCAAATTTTAGAGGCTTAGAAGAAATCAAGCCTGTGCATGGCTCTGTGTTGTGACAAACATGCTGGTAGTTCCAAATCACAGCATTTGCAGCTATGGGGCTTGCTCTCAGAAGGAGTTGGAATATCAGTGTTGCTCTTCAAACACCCAAAATGTTATCATTAGCTACTGGGCTCTGTGTCATGTTAATGCTGTGAATGGCAGACAGTGTTTACTCAGGTAACAAAATGAAACTGTGTTATAACGCCTGTCACCAGAAAGTGTGGGGGAAAGGGATTTGGATTTGGATCTGATCATAAGGTAGGAGGTGGTGCTGAGTGTTTGGTTGAGTGCTGAGGACATGTGCCTTGGGTCCTGCTCTCATCCTAGTCTTCCCTACTCCCCTCATTCATTGATCCTTTTCCTTTTGATGCTGCTGTCAAAATCCTTAAGTTTACTCAGGAGAGAAGTGTACCAGCAACATTAATATTATTAAAATAGCCTGGACTGGAAAAAAAGAGGAAACAGAGTTTTTTTTCAACACTATTTAGTTCTTGAGGTTTTGATGCTGAACTGATCAGTGGGGGAGAGCAGCTGTTCTGTTCTTCCTCCGCCAGCTGGCTGGCTGTAGTGCCAGCTAGTCCTTTGGCTTTGGTGTCTCTTATTCCTCCTGCTGTCTGCACTCATTTCTTTCCTCTGTTCTCATGAACCCTACACAGTCCAGACTGTCAAACAGAGGAGTGATATTCCTGCATCTTCCTACCAGTCCTGCTAGTTTTCTGGTTTCTGACTTGGCCACATACTTCTTGGTAATCTGAGGGTGCCAACTTTAGCCTGGCCAGGCTTCCCCCATCTTCCTTCCAGGAACTGAGCATCTTGGTAGAGTAGGACTTGTGGAAATGCCCAGTGTCATTTAAAACACCCAACAGACAGCTGCTGTTCCCCTCCTCAATCCATTTCTCACCTTTGATGTAACAACAATAATCCTTAATATTATTTTTTTCTTTATAAAATTAATTGTAAGGTTGCAATATGTGGGCTGGGGTTTCCTTTCCTTGAAAAACACAGGCGGATCTGCTTGGGCAATCTGGCTAATGCTGTAGGATGATCTCTGGAAGGGATTTGGGGTGCAGACCTCATTGACGGACCCAGGGCTATTGGAGATTACAGGGGTGTGGGTCAGGTCAGTGTGCTGCCAGTGAGCATTGTTGGGTGTGCTGGTGTTTCAGGGCCTTTGCAAAGCAGGGAAGTGACCTTGGGGTAGTGGCTGGTGGGGCAATGGGTGACGTGTTGTATAAGAGCTGGGCATGCAGAGCTTGGTGTTTATCTCTTAAACTGCAGCACCTGGATGTGAGGCACCACCAGATCTTTGGGGGCTAAGTTAAATGCAGGTTTGGCATAAAAAAAAAAAAAAAAAGACAAAACATGGTAATTGTTGGAGGTGCTTAAAAAAGGTTGGTAACATGAACTCATAACTGGCTGGGGACAGGGGTATAATTTTGACACAGGTCAAAAGGAAAATACATCCCATGGTATCTGCAGCAGGGCTCAGGTGGGGAAGAAGAGGGAAAACATCTGCTGAAGGTATGGGCACAGGAATGAGCGGCTTGATGGTGACCATCTTGAGGCCAAGGGGCTGTGGGGAAAGCAGGGGGGCCACAGTGGCGCTGGCACCTCCCTGCATGGGGCGCAGGAGGAAGAAGAAAAATTATACTCATCACATTCAGCACCTTGTAGTCCTTGAAGGACAAACACACATGGACTGTGGGCTGGTAATGAGCCCTGGCTTAATCCTGACCCTGCCCAAGTTTCTTTCAGTCATTTATTTCACAGTGCCAGCATCTTCTGTGAATGTCAGCAAAGCTGCAACCCTGTCCATGTCCCCTTGGCACATATTGTGGTCTGAGTTTTCCAGAGCAGAGGTAGCATCCCCTCCCTGTCCAGCAGCTGGAAGGAGCACTGGAATGATACACTCAGTGCAGAGTGTGAGATGTTCCCTATATTCTTCCATTGAGTATTTCCCTTCTCCCTGGTACAAGCACCTGTGTGGGCATGAAAATAAGATGAGTACTCTCTTTCTAGGGTGGTTTTGTGCTCCTTCCCCAAGGTACAGAACAGGGCTGAGACCTGGCAGGGAAATGGTCCCCGTGTGTTTCAGCACTCTGGCCCATGGCACAGGGCAAACTCTGCCCCCAAAGTTAGATTGCACAGGTTGGGAGGACATCATCCCTGGGATGGGGTCCAATGCTTGGCGTGGGTGACGCTGTAGTTGTTTGCGTGTGTCATGGAGGGAAGTGTGTGAATGGGATAAATTTAGCAGTCAAAACACAGGGCCAGCACAGTCTGTCATTAACTGCCCTCCCATCCCATCATCCTGCAACCACAAGGAGCTTTTTTAGGGCCGGCGTCATGGCAGAGGCCAGAGGAAGTGTGGGAGGCCAGTTCCTGGTGACACCTCCAGGCGCAGCAGCGCTGCCCGGTGGTGCCATTGGCTGCCCCGGCCCGGGGCTGGCACTGACCAGCAGTTAAATGCCTGCCCTGGCACCCTGGGACACACAGCCTGGAGCATTCCAACACAGACAGCCAGCTTATCCCTTCCCCAGCACCATAGGAGACGGACGCGTGCATCACACCTTGAGGTAAAGGTCTTGGTTTCTTTGGGTTGATCTGGCATTGCCTGGAGGGAAAATGGCAATGTTTGAAAAAAGGGGTTGAAGACTTCCTCACAAGTTTTGGTTGAAAGCAGGAGGATTATCATCTGGGATGTAGGTGTTGCTTTGTCAGGGAAGAAGCCAGAAGTGTGCTCTTTCCAGCATGTTTTGGGTGCAGGGTGATGTTCAGTGTGGTTAGTGTATCCCATAGGGAAGAGGTGCTGGGCTGGGCTTAAAGAAAATGCTTGGAAAATGAGAGCAGAGCTGGAGGAAAGCCCCCACTGCTTTATCTGCCTGCCAGGCAGCAGTGCTGCTGGGGTGCCCACCCAGAGGGCTCTGGGGATGCAGCTGTCTGTGGCATTATCTCATTGGGATGCTCCACTTTGGAACAGTAGGAGATTTTATGAGGCTGTGGGGACCACTCCAGGGGGAGGTGCAGCTCTGCAGCCCATGGTCTCACAGTGCTGCCCATCTGAGGTGCAGGCTCCTGTCACAACCACTGAGCTCAGCCGAGTGGTGACATTACTATGGGAACAGGAAACGCAGGAGAGCTCTCCTGCTCCTTAATCATGCTCAGACAAAAATCCTGCCAGTACATGGCTGGGTATTTCAAATCCCAAACTAAAGGGAGGTTTCTGCGCAGGAGGTGCCAGGAGGTGGCACAAGGACAAATCCCTGGCTTGTTTGATGACACGCCAGGCTGAGCACTGTGATTTGGGAGGGCTTTGTGGGACCAAATTCCAGCCAGAGTCACATGCAAAGGCTTTGCTCTAGCCTGCAAATATTTCATTCCTTGTTGCAGCCACAGGGACCACGACTGACATGAGGGCTGCATTCCTGGTGCTGCTCCTATGGGCTGTGGCCTGTGCTCACCCTGTAAGTATCCCCTGGACTGACACTTCCACCCCAAACCCCTTGGTTTTGCCTGGCCAAGGCACACTGATCACTGACCAAATGTCTCCTGGATGTGTTTAGGTGCCTGGCCATGAACCCTCCCACCCCAGCACCCTGCAGGAGGTAAGTCACAGGTGCTGCTGTCCCACAGGGAGCAGCCCCTAAGGGAGCAAGTCTGGGATGGGGAGCCAGCTCTGGGCAGGCCTCCTTGGACGAGGAACCTAGGAGGGATCTGCTGCTTCTATGGGTCTTTGAGCTTGTCTGTCTGCTCAGTCCTTTCAAGCTGGGTTGGTTTCACCCTGTTTTGACTTGTCTCCCTGTAAAAGTTCCCAGTTCACCTGACACCTTTTGCTGTGCTGGCCCTGAAATAGCCCAGCTTGGGCTTTTCTGGGCTGCTCTTTTGCTGGTGGCTACCATTTTATTTTGTATCTGCAGAAATAACTAAAGGGCTGAGGTGCAAGTAATAGAAAAGACTTGAGCTCTTGCATGGCTTGGGAGAAAGGTCCTGCAGCAGCAGCAGTAAAAGTACTGTGGTTGATATTTAATAAACCAAAAGTACCATGTCATGTTTTGCCTTCAGGATACCGCAAATGAAGATTACATTGGCAAGCTGGGCAACCTCCTAGATGGTGGGGATGGCAGACATCATCCTGCCAATCCAGAGACAGGGGAAAATGCACTTGCCAGGGACCTGGCAGGTGGGAATGCCGTGTATGAGGAGCTGGATGAGCTCAGTGGCCAAGATGTGGGAGGCCGAGTTGGGCAGGCTCAGCACATGAACCAGGTGGACCACGACGACATGAGTCCCCACAATGGGAATGACCTTGGTTTCCTGGTGAGTGAGTGAATGGAGAGGAATGTTTTGTTCTGCCAGGAAAGCTCCCTTGGCCCCAAAGCTGGCATTGGTCAAGGCTGTGCTTGGCTTTGCATTCATCTGTTTGTCACCTCCATAGGAGGTGGATGCCCGTGACACTGATGACACTGACAATGGAGACCACTACGGCGCCAGAGCCAACGCGTTTCCCTCCCATGGTGGCGGGTTCCTGGACGAGGAGGATGACAGTGGGGACGACACCTTCGATGCCAATGGGCAAGAAGAGAGGGGTGAAGGCCCTACCTATGGGGCTGGTGCTGATGAGGCAGGGGAACACGAGCACGATGCTGGCCGTGGGGATGCCGGGGCTGGAGTGGGGCACAGCAGCAGCAGCAGCAGCAGTGAGAGCACTGGGGCAGACCACCGACGCTACAGGAACTATGGGCACACCTACAGGCACAGAGGGGCCAGCAGCAGCAGCCAGGAGGAGAGCTATGACTTCCAGGACGAAGCCATGCAGGGAGATGATCCCTCTGTCTTTGACGGCCCAGGCAGCAGCTACAGGATGCGCCACACTGGCCCCCATGCTCTGGGGAACAGTGGGGAGAGTGCCCAGGGGGCTGGCTCCCACCGCTGGGAGGAGGGTGACAGCAGGTCCCCCGAGGTGGAGGATGATGACTCTGGAGAAGACAGCCCATCTGTGGAGAACAACAGTCAGTCAGAAGAGCCTGTTGACAGCCAGTCAGAGGAAAAAAGCTCCAGCCACTCCAGGGAGGATGGGGATGGGGATGGGGAGGACAGCCCCTCTAGGGAAGATGAGGACAGTGAGTCCAGGGAGACCACTGCTGAGCAGTCAGATGAAGAGCCGGGGGAGACCCCAGAGGTGGTGAGAACCTTGAATGAGCACAGCAACGGCCAAACCTGGGAAGGTCAGGAGGACTGGGATTCTGCTGAGGACAGGAGTGTGCTGTCCACACCTGACAGTGAGTCCAGGGAAGAAGAGACTGAACTGAGCAAGTCCAGAGAAGATGATGATGACCAGAGCCATTCCACAGAGGAAACTGTGGAGGAGTCGGAGGAGGATGAGAATGACTCTGTGCCAAGCACATCAGCTGAGAGCCCAGAGGTGCCAGAGGATGACAGCAGCCCAGAGGACAACACAGGTGAGGACAGCAGGTCCACAGAGAGCGACAACAGCGAGTCCCAGGAAGATGAGGATGACGTGGAGAGCCACTCCCAGGAGGATGCCACTCAAGAGTCCAGCAGCCACGGGGACGACAGCTCCCTGCAGAGCCTGGAGAGCGGGGCCCACAAGCAGCAGCTGGGCGCCCTCCGGCGCAGACCTGCTGCTGACTATGATGACAATGACTGCCAGGATGGGTACTGACCTGTGCCCCGGGACCTCAGCGGCATCAGGGGTGTGGGGGGAGGAGGGGTTAATTTATTTGCCATATAGCCTGGTTGACTTCTTCTCAAGAAGTGGTTAAAATGGAGTGGTTAATGCTGTGGTTAAAATGGAGACAGGTTTGCCAGAGCTAGGCCTGGGCATGCTACACAGGGAATGAATGAAAGGCTTGCCAGGCACAGGGAGAACACCGAACCACAGCAAGAAAGGGTATTTTCTGTATCAAACTGGAGAGCAGCTGAGAGCTGTGAGGGCCAGCAGGGTGATGCTGCCCACTTGCCCCAGGGGCACAGTGGTGGCTTGGCACTTCTGGTCATGCTGAGCAGGTCCCTGTGTTCACTCCTTGTGTTCACCTACCCAGACTCCAGTTGGCGCTTTCCATTAACTCTATGTCCAGCACATAAAAAGGAAAAGCTACAGCTGGTATGCACATGGGGTGCATGGGCACAGCAGGGTATGAAGTACCACTTCAGGATGGGATGTATGTAATATTTTTAATATTTTGTAAGAAATGTACAGAAAACATTATACTGTATCCTTTTTGCACTTGTATTTCAAAGCTGAAATATACCCTGTTGATTTCTTTAATCATTATTAAAACCACCAAACTCCACTATAGTGTGGTTTGAGGTGTTGCTGTTTTTCTCTCCTGGGTGTGCCAGGGTCTGCAGTTTGGGGCTGGACCAGAAGGAGCAGGAAGCAAAGGGCAGGATATTTGTGTGGAGAGCCACAGCATGCCGGGAGGAGGGGGAAAGCAAAAGCTGAGGGTGTTCCCACTCCCTCTATTTCCAGGTGCCCCAAAGGCCACCCCTGCCCCTTGGTGGACCTGCAGTGCAGTGGAAAATCTGGCTGAGGACCCCAGTGAGCTGGGCCTGAGGCTTTGCTGTATTAGGGCCATCTTCTCCTGCAATGTGAGCAAGGGTTGTGCTGCTCTTCCTGAGGTGCTGGCAAGGTGTCCCAAGGCATGAGGACTCTTCTGGTCCACTGGCTTTGTGTGCCCATGGTGGCGCCTGGTACCAGTTCCCTGCAGCAGAGATGCAGGTGAGCAAGGTAAAGGTGTTACCATGAGTAAAGCCTGTTTTACTCTCTGTGACATTTGGTTGATTTTTCCCTCCTATCAGCAAATAAACAACATTATTTAAAATCACATTGTTTTAAATGCCACCTAGGCCCTTCTTCCTTGTTCACATGTGCAAGACAAGCAGTACAATGTGGGTTTTCATGCTGAAGGTGAAGCTTGGGCTGTTGTGTCACTGTGCAGTTTTACAGCATGGAGTTGTGGCTCTGCAGGGGACAGTCCCCAAGGGGCCAGGGTGAGTGGGTACATTCCCTTCAGCTGTCAGGTCTCAGGGCTGAGCATTGCAGTACCAAATTCAAGAACCAGTAAAAAACTGAAATCTTTTTCTGCTACTTATAGCACAACCACACTTAATTTGTAGCCTGTTTCCACTACTTGAAGGCTGGGAGCTGAACAACTAGTAGTTTTTATGGAAATTGTGTTTTAATATTCACCCTGTGAAAACCTTTTTCTGCTTCTGTATGAGATCAGCTCTGAAACTTGTGGCTTCTCCATGCTGCTGTCTTGGGAAGGAGCCTCTTTCCTGACCCTTCATCCCACTAGTCCCCACTTCACTGTGAATACCTCAGCCGTGACCTGGCCCTTATTTTTTGGACCTCTCACATCAGTTGTGTGAATTGCTGGGGATACTGGGATGGCAGTGATGCCTGTCAGGGTCATGAGCACCAAAATTCGGGAGTGCAGCTCCACCACTTTGGTGAAAGACAGCAAGCGTGGCTGTCTTGTGTTCGGTGTGGGTCACATCCCTGACGCTGCAGTTTAGAGTTGTAGCAATGAGTGTTTGCTGCGGTGGGAGCCCTCCCGCGGCCAGCAAGCGGTGCTGCTGTGCCGGCAGGGCCACGTTCTGGTGCCGCCTGTGTCGCAGGGCTGGGTCGCACCCCGGGGCCATCGGAGGCGATGGTCACATAGCGACAGCTGGTGGCGGTGGGGATGAAGCAGGTTTTTTGGGATCCCTCCAGGAAGAGGCGTGCAGCTCTGCAGTGAGCCCAGCCTGCGAGAAGCACAGTGGAAACATGCCAGGAGAGGGGTGAAACCGCTTCTTGCAAATTTGTGCATGACCCTGTGTCCATCTTCATCCTTCTGGGAGTGGTGCTGGGGTGCACAGCAGCCTGGCACAGCGGGGCAGGGGACTGCGTGTCCCTGTCCTCCTCACTTCATGCATGGAGAGAAAAACTGGATTGATTTGGGTTTAGTGTGGGCGGGAGGCACGAGTGCCTTGCCAACAGGGCCGAGGGCATCCGGCTGTGTGTTCCTGGGGACATGCTGCCACTACAGGCGTGTCCTGGCCAGCAGCGCCCAAAACTTGCCTCCCGCTGGCTGGCTGCTCCCCAAAAGGCAGGGAGCCGGTGCCAGAGCTGACTGCTGCTGGCTGGTCCTGCCAGGACAGCTTCCCACGGACCATGCCTCCTGGGCACTGCCCTTCTCTGGGAAAACCTCCCACTTGGCCTCAGGGAGGGAGCAGCTCGTGTTGGGCTTATGCAGGGATTTGCCCAGAACCTGCCAAGGACATCTGCAAGGTTTTGGCAGACACTGGTGTTATTGGACTGTCCCTATCAAATGCTGTTCATCTGTGTATAAGCAGGACCACCCTGCTTGACATCTGGAAGGGCAGGATTTCACAGGGTGAGGTTTTTGATGGGCAGAGGGAGTGTGACCAAAAGATGCTCTTTGAGAGGATTTAAAGGGATTTTTAGGAGTTTATGTATTCGGTTTTTGTGCTGTGTGTCTGTGCACTGTGAGCATTAGAGGGGGAAACTCCTGCTCTTTGCTGATGGGCTGCCAGGACAAGCAGCTGGGAAGGTCAGCCACAGGCTGTGCCATCGCTGGAGATGTTCCTGCCTCCAGTTTCAGGATGATTACGTGATGAAGTTGTCAGATTCAGTTTTCCTGATGGGTTAGGCAGGGATAAAAAATGCCCACGTCAATGTATGCTTTTATTATCCACCCACATGACGTTCTTTGTGCAGTGGGGGTGGCCTCCAGAACTGAATGCAGCAATTTACCCAGAAATCAGCATTGGGGGTTAAAGCAGGTATTTTTGGATCCATTTGGGTTTTTGAAAACATGAGTTTGCATAACCTTAAAATAAAGGTTTCTTGTGTTGGTTTTTTGGGTGGGTTTTTTTTTTGTTTTGTTTTGTTTTTAATTCTAAGAAGAAAAAATTCTATTTTAAATAAGTAGCTGGTGGCTGAAGTGGTGGGAGGCAGCAGTGCTGAGCCTGGCTGTGGCAGCTGAACTTGGGGCAGCCACGGCATACCAGCTGTACTTATTCAACCTCATTATTTTCGTGGATTTGGTGGGAGAAACAGAGAGACCCATGCACTTGCAGGCCACCTCTCCATCCAGCAGTGGCTTTTTTGACAGTGCAGACAAATTTCCTGGGCTTTGCATGGTGATCTGAGTTCCACAGCTGGCTGCAGGCTTTTTCTTGGCCTGTGTTTGTGTTTACCAAAATGGGAATATCTGTGAAAGAAACATTGATAGAATCACAGAATGATCTTGGTTGGAAGGGACCTTAAACACCATCTCAATTCAACCCCCCTGCCATGGGCAGGGACACTAATCCAGGTTTCTCAGAGCCCCATCCAACCTGGTCTTGAACACTTCCAGGGACAGGGCACCTACTGCTTCTCTGAGCAACCTGTTCCAGTGCCTCCCCACCCTCACAGCAGAGAATTTCTTCCTAGTATTGAATCTAAACCTTCTCTCTCTCAGTTTGAAGTCATCCTCCTCTTGTCTTGTTGCTACATGCCTTTGTAAGAAACTTCTCTTCCTCTTCCTTGTAGGCTCCCTTCAGTCTGATGGGGTTGTCTGGTCCATGACCCTGGGATGTAATTCTGTTGTGGGAACCACTCCTCTCCAAGCACACAGTGCGGCCAGGAGAGTTTGATTGCGTTTCTCTGCCCTTTTCAGTGGGGAGGAAAAACCTCTGACGGAATCACTGAGGCCATCAATCTGAACAAAAGAAATATCCCAGACGTGGGAAAACAGCCTGTGACCTCAGTGAAACCCCAAAATGTTACAAACCTTTTGAATGCTCAAAGGAAATTTTTCTTCCAGCTCTCTTTACTGCCATGCGCTTTGATGGCAAATAACTTTCCCATCCCTGGCTTAGCCATGTCCTGGGAGTTTTATGGTTCCCCCAGCACTGCCCAAAGAAGTCAGGCACCACAGGATGGTACAAGTAAAGTGTAAGTGTTAGCATCCACCTGTACTGCATTCCCCCAGCTCATGATGGAAACCTTAAATCCTCTCATACTGCACTCCTCAATTTCATGATGGAAACCTTCAGAGTGAGCAAGTGGTTTGCAGGTCAGTTTTTTCCTGTTTCCTGAAATGCAAAGCTGCAAAGAGCTATTGTATTTTAGCAGAAGGCATCAGGTTACTGAACACAGGGGCTGAAACTGCACCTGGGGGGCCAAGGCAACATCTGCCCTTTCTCTCCTAGACCTGATGTTGCTTCACCTGCAGAGCAAAAATTAGTTTTATGACAGTGTAAAAACTTTGTAAAGAGACCTTTTAAAAAAGGGAAATGAGTGCCTGAGTGTCAAGGTACTTTTTGCAGAAGACACGTACTTCTCTATGTATTTAGGCCAGTTTGGATGGGGCTTTAAGCAACCTGGTCTGGTGGGAGGTGTCCCTGCCCATGGCAGGGGATTGGGACTAGATGAGATTTAGGGTCCCTTCCAATCCAAAGCATTCTGTGATTCTGTGATGTGTGGATACATACATCACTCTTCTGCAATTTATGTGTGTACACAATAACAAATAACCAGTTCAAGAGCAGCAGTTCCTGCTGATACACACAGCACACTGTCTCTGCTGCAAGTGGGTCCTTTTTAATGCCATACTCAGGGGTTTTACCAAGTTAGAGCAGCGTATGCAGTGACAGGGAGGTAGGAGCCATCACCAGCACAGCACAGAAGCAGCATGCTTCCATGCCTTTCAGATGCCTGGAGGTCCAGGGATGCTGATTTAACTTTGTTAGAGAGCTCAGTTCCTGAGCTGAATGTGCAGGGGGTTGGTTGTTACTTCTGCAATGAACAGAGGCTACCTTCCTGCTTACCTTCTGAAAATAAGAGTTTTTGGGAGGGTTATTTGTCTTTTTCTCCTGAGAATGTGTTTGAGAGCTCTCACATGGATGGAGGCAGAGACAGCTGGGGGGACCAGACCTGGTAACTTGCTCTGGCTGATGAGGAGTTTGTTGGTCCTGAAAAAAAGAAAAACAAACAAAGAGAGGAGATCCAATATACAGATATTGCTCAAACACGTGAGGGCCTGGCTGGTGGCAAGTCTGGGATTTGCGATAATGCTGCAACCTAGCCTCAGTGATTTGCTGGGGTTGGTTCCCAGAGCTCAGGGAACTTCAAAGTGCTCACATTACAGAGCTACTCCTGGCCTGAATTTTTCCAGGAAATAGAATTAACTTCCTTTTTCTGGTTTCTGCTTAGAGAAAAAGGAAAATCATGTGAAATGTTCAGTTGCAGAGGGGCCAATATATAAAGATTGTGTACTGATAATGGAGGCTGATACAAGGTGCATTTTAGATATTCTCCCCTCAAACTTTTATTCTAAAATTGGATGTTGGCAAAAGAATAATGAGTTATGTGTGCAGCTGATGCTGGTTTGCATTTGTGTTTGTGCTCTGAGAGGTAAGGAGAAAGAGAGGCATTCTTTATTCTTATTCTGTTGCTCCCTCTTCTTTCTCACCACTTCTCTCCCCAGCTGGTGATCGTGGTACACACACTCCTGTCCCTGACAGTATGTGAGGAGAGCTGGAAGCCAAGGCAAGCTCTCAGGTGCCTCCTATGCAGGTTTTGGGGGTGCCCTGGCCGCTGAGCTGCATGGCAGGGGTATCGCTATAGGACACGAAACAACATGAATGCACACAACTCTGCTTTCAAGGTGAACAAAAGGGAAGTTTATTTTCTGACTTTAGCATTTATCATTTTCTAAAAGTGACAGTGGATTGGAGGGTGAAAGTGCCACCCCCCCAGTGACACTGGACAAACTAACAATCTATCAAATTTCTCTTCTTCCATAAAAGAATGCAAAACAATAAGTTATTTACAGAAAGTGTGTGAGCAAGTTTGCTACAAGAATGTAGAAATCAGAAGGCTTAGAAAATATTAAAAATTCAGGGCAACACAGGGGTGCCCCTTTCTCTGGCTGCAGCAGCACCTTTGTCTCTTCCCACCATGCTCAAAGTGTCCTTCTGGTTTTGTTTTCTTTACTTATTTTTGTCTTTGAGGTTTCCTTTCAGAATAGCTTCAGGGCATGGAAATAGGATGGTGGGGCCTCAGCCCTGCATTGCCGGGTAGGGCAGGAGCACTCTGCTCTTCTCATTTACCGCTCTGCAAAAATAATAACTAAATTTGGACTTAGGAGCCATGTCAGCCTGAGCCAGACAGGGACACTCTGACCCTGAGATCCTCAGGGGCTCAGGCAAGTAAGTACACCCAAACTGTACAGGGTGCCCTTGCTGGGTGCAAGCTGCAGCACAAAGCTGCAGCCAGCGGCTGGTGCAAACCCCGCCTTCCACTGGACCACTATGGTTAAAACCCCATCCTTTGGAGGCAGATAAGCTGTTCTATATTTTGTTTCCAGCAAGATGATATCATTTCATAAAGCTTTCAAAGCCTGTATTCACTTTTAGTAACAGATCCGTTTCAGACAAAAGGATGACCACTCTGAGCCCTGCCACCTTGGAGAGACGGAGTTCTTGCAAAAGCATTGAGACCAGTGCTCCATGTCTGCCATGTGATGATTTTAAAGTAGTAATAGAAAATAAATTTCAAATGGAAACATTAGGATGTGCTGGCTGAGTTCCTGGCTGGTTTTCCACCATGGTGCTGTTGAGGTTGCTGCTGCTGGTAGCTTGCCTGGGCAGCACCCGCTCCAGGAGCTAAACATAGGTGCTGGCTGCACAAGGCACTTCAGCACACGTTAATTATCCTGGTGTTTTTTAGGGATCTTGGGTGAAACGTGTGTTTTTATAGTCAGTTTTCCATATTTTTTTTTAAGCAGCCTGGAGTAGAAGCCCTTTAATTACATTAAAAATCACCTCCCACCAGGACTCTCTGTTCCCAAGCCCTGCTGAAATTTTAAGCTCAAAGCCAGGCACTTTGCTCACTGCTTTCCTAGGCCAGGCAGCTTAGGACAGCAGGGCACAATGGAAGGCAGGGCTATCTATCTCTGCCCTGAATGCCTAGCAGGGCAGCCCCTCCAGCTGCTCCAGCCCCATGGAGCTGGGGGTACATGGGAATCCTCATCCTCACAAATGCTGATCTCTATCTTTGTCAGAGGCTGCTGCGTTGGCACCGAAGAACTGCATGGCTGAGGTGTTTTTGTGGGTTTTTGTTTTGTTTTGCTTTGTTGTTTTTTTTTTGTTTTGTTTTGTTTGTTTGGGGTTTTTTTGGGTTGGTTTTTTTTGCGTGGCTTTTCCTGGCATGAGGCGTCAGCTGAAAGCCACAGCCAGCTACAGGCCTCCCTTATAATTAGGACTCTTCACAGTCACAAAAGGGGCTTTGAAGCCCATGGGCAGCTGTGCCCTGCAGCCCCAGGGGGTTGCATGGTGGGCATGTGGCATAGTCTGCTGCCAGGGGTGTTGGACCATTGGGGGGCTATGGGGGACCTCTCCCTCCTCAGAAACAATTCATGTGTGTAGTGCTCCATCAGCAATTATCAACTCCCCACCATGAACCTGTCAGTGATGGGCTCCCCTGAATGTAGCTGAGGCTGGTTTTGCCCCTAGTTTTTAGAAGAAACACTCAGGCATTTCATGGCAAAGTGGATTTTTCTGTCCTAAATAACCATAGTTTTACCACTGGCTAAGCTGACCATTACAGATCTGCCTGAAGGCGTTTATTTTTCAGCACCTCTCTTCCTTCTCCTCGGGCTGTCAGTCTGAAAGCATCAAGTGGGAGTTGCAGCTCTCCTTGCCACTGTGGAAAGCAAAGTTGCATTTGGTGAATAGTCATTCCCTGAACTGCTGCAGCCCAGATGTGCAGGAGCTTAGGGGCCTTTGCTGAGAAGGACAAGAAAAATCTGGGAAAGAGGGAGCAGAGGTGCACTGGAGAGTTGGATGGATAAAATCCAAGCAGGAAATGATAAATATAGGTAAAGGAGAGAAGACATCCCTGTGGAGGTGGGTGCAGGGGGTGGCATCCACTTGCTGTATCCTGTCACCAAGATCCCCAGTGTGATTTGAGGGCACATGTGGGTGGGGTTTTTCCATTTCCTCCCCACTCCCAGGAAGTTTGCTTTGCTGGGGACATACACAGATTTCAGCTGAGCAATGCCTGATTTTTGAGAGCAGGGGACTGGGCTGACCCCTGTGTGGGTCTGCGTAGTTTGCAGGGCATTAGAAACAAAGCTGACCTGCACTTTGTAGCAACACTGTGGTGGAAATGACTCTCAAAGGGGCACTGAGTGACACCTGTATCTGAGTCCCCTTTTCTTTCCCTTCCCTTCCCAAGGCCTCTGCAGGCATCCTGGAGAGGGATTTTTTTTTTGGATTTAGCTTTTTTTGGTCTAACGGCTCTGCACAAGTGGCTGTGCGGCTGGGCCTTTGAGGTCGGTCTTTTTGTCTACTTGAAAAAACAGTGACAGGATTTCTCAAAAAGGGAGGTGGACAGCCCCCAGCAACATATTTCCCAATATTTATTTTAATTAAAACCCAGAGTGTTATTATACCCTCGGCCTCCCAGCCGCACATCTGAGGCCAGACCCTCAATTAAGTGGCGCAGGGCAAGCCTCTCTGGGTTTGGCAGCGGCATGGGGTGCTATGTTTGTGCACCAAATCTGCCAGCGTTGAAGTTTTGGAGGGGTTTTGGTGCATGCTGGAGAGCTGGCGTCACTCTGGGCAGGGCGGTGACTGGCTTAGGGGGGGCAAAGCCAGAGCTTATATCCCAGCAGGGCAGCAGCGGGAGGAAATCTGTGCCGGCTGACTCCATGGTTAGCTCTCAGTGCTGGGGCAGGGTAAGCTCGCTGCTGCTTTTCTCAGTTTGGTTGTGCATTGATGTCTGCTTTTTGCAGGGAGATGGGAGGGTCAGCTTGCTGGCAGGATTGGGGTGCTGCTTTTAGTCTTTTTCTGGATCTGTGGCTTCATGAAGCGCTTGGGTGGAGGGGATGAGCATCCAGAGCCTTGCTGCAAGTTCAGAGAAACTTGTGGACGCTTGTTTTATAGCCTGAATTAAGCAAAACTAGGGAAACTTCAAGCACAGATAAATGTAATAACAATTCCCTACAAGCACAGCTGATACTGGGTTTAGGCAGAGGAAGGGTAGGAGAAAGCCTGACTGGGAGCATTGTTCTCTGGGGGAAGGCTGGGCTGATGCTGGAAACGATTGGGTGTGCTCCTTTCTCCTTGATGCACGAGGGCAGGCTGTGTTTTGGTGCTTTGGGTGTGCAGCTCAGACCTGCCTAGAGCTAAGTCCCCTCCAGCAGTGCCTGTGGGGGGCTCTTTGCATTGGTGCCTTCCCACTGCTGTTTTTACCAGTGGCAGCCTGTGAAGCCAATTACTTCCATTATTTCTTTGCTTGTTTGTTTTTCCTCAGTGAGGTTACACTGTCTGTGGTGTAATTCCCAGGAGCAACTGCTTCCTGGGCAAAACCCAAGCAGGTCTTGGAGCTGTGGAAGGGCGGCTACAGTGGGCAGTGCTCCCAGCTGCTCCTGTTGCATCTCCAGTGGGGCTTGGCTTTCTCCCCTCCCTTAAGGGCAATGGGCAAACAGGAATAAGTCATCCTTCTCCAGGAAAGCTTTGAGTTCACTACATGGGGAAACTTGCTTTTCTGGTATATTGTGGCTTCTAGAAAAAACAAAATGTATTAATGGAAGTTGAGGCAGATCTTTAAAAAAAAAAGAAGAAAAAGAAAGAATTGGCTCTATGGAGGGATTGGGTGACCTCACCAAGGAAGGCTGGAAGTCAGCCTTTCTTCTCCCCAGTCACCCACGTGGACACCGACACGTGGATGGTTTGGAGTGGTGCTGGTGCTTTCTAGCTGAAATGCAAGCCCTCAGTGTGTTTCAGTGTTCCTAGAGACAGCAGCCATGAGGAGTGTCCTGGTGTTTGTCTGCCTGGTGGGAATGGCGTGCACCTTCTCGGTGAGTGCCAGCTGAGGGGGGCCCCTGGCCTTGCCAGGGCTGGTGTGGGGCACGTACCAACTCACCCTTTCCCTCAGGTCAAGAGCTGGCTGCGGCAACCCAAGCTGGATGACTCAGAAGAGAATGCGGTAGGGTCTCCCCGGTGCCTAGTACCACACAGGGCTGATCTTGAGGAAGAGCACATTTTGGTAGCTCCTGTACCCAAGGCCCCAGACTGATGGGATTTTCCCCCTCCTTCTCCTGGTAGGTTTTCAAGAGCCGGCACCGGCATTACCTGTACAGATACATCTACGTGTATCCCCCGCAGCGACGGTACCAGGTGGGTGGCTCTGAGGGCTTGCTGCTGCTTTGCTGCCCTCCAAATGCAGAGATTTTGGCCCAAATGAGATGGGGGCACGTCTGTGCCCTGTTGGCTTGGCCTGTGGGCCTGGGCACAGAACATTGTTCTTGTGACACCACTGGGAACCCACCCACCCGCCTCCAACTTGGTTTTTCCTCTTAGGGCAGTGACTCATCTGAGGAAGAGGGGGATGGCTCGGAGGAGGAGGAAGAGGGGGTGAGTATGGCAAACCAGCAGTCTGCAAAACAAATACAGGAATTTGGGAACTTTCTTTGGTTTTGTAGTCTCTTCTCATCAGCATTTGTGGTCACTGACTTCCCACAGGCTTGCACTCTGGATACAACTGGATTTTCTACTCTGGACCTTATTTTACTTTTTTTGTCGATATTTTCCTTTTGCTTTCCTTTTTCTTCCTGGGCAGGGGTTGCACCAAACAACCCTGAGACAAATTCTCTGGGTTTCCATTTCCAGTGGATCAGAAAGGAGCAGGATGGGCCAAAGAACAGAACCAGGGAGGTTCACACAAGGAAGAAGGTGCTGTTAGGAACTCCTCTAATCTTCATCTTTTAGGATCTGTTACCCCTGTAACACTGAGAATACCCCTATGGAAAACCCAGTTATGCTCTGCATGTGTGTTTGTGGAGTAACACAAACTGATGCTATATTGGGAAAGTCAACTTTGTATCAGTCAGATACAAAAACCAGATGGTAAAGCTGCTCCTCTCTGCTGGATCAGTGTGAGCTTGGGCACTTCTAGAGCTGTGAGAGCAACCCAGGTCCAAAATTAAATGTAAGGGATTACAAAGATCTTTTGTGCCTTATCGGGCTGCAAATGCTCAAAAATAGTCCAGTGGTCTCAGGCACATAAGTGCTTTGAAATAAGGATCTGGTATGCTTAGAATCCTGTGTGTCATGCTTAATCAAGTCCTTTATTTTTTTCTTTTTAAAAAGTTATTTAATGAAAGCAGGGAGTCTGGTTTTAAACCCTGCTTTGGAGGCCTGTCAGGGATTGGGATATAGCATGGGGTAGCCCCTGTGCCAGCTCTGGCACCTCCCTGCAATTTTCCCCATTTTAGCCGTTTCTCTCCCCTACCACTGCAATCTCTAAGGATAAATTTGAGCAGTAGGATGGGCAGCAAAATGTGGAATTTCATTTCTCAGAAAGAAATTAACTGCACATATGTATGCACGAATGTAGCTGCTCTTTAGGTCTGCCCTTTTCATTTTGAGGGCATAAGAGCATTGGCTGCTCTCATGCAAGGATGTGCCTTCACTGGCAGGGTGGTCAGCAAGATGAATCATGCTGATAGGCCCCAAGGTCAGTTATGTAAAACGCATTATAAAGCATATCGGTTTGCAAAAAGCTTTATATTGGCTGCTGTATAGGGAGCATCACTTCCACTGGCACAGCTGGCTGCACTGTGCAATTTGATGGCTCTCCTGCTGGAGAGGAGAGCAGCCTGGATTTTCTCTGCCAGCACTTGCACCTGTATTTCAAGGTCTGAGGTGGCCCAAAATGCCAGGGTAGCTGTCCTTGGTCTTGCCGTATGAGCAGCAGGGATTGCCCAGGGCAGCGATGACACTGACCTCAGGTCTCCCTGCCATGGCTGGGCTCATGTGCTGGTGCCAACCAGCTCCACCTCCCAGGCTGGGCCCTGGGTGAATTGCCCCACCAGTTCCTCAGTGTCTGCTTCAGGCTCTGTTTGCATTTGGGTTATTCCTTACCCTTTTTTAGCCATGCAACCCACTGAGAGCCCCGCTCTGCTGCTGATCTCTGGGGCCAAGTGTTGCTGATGGCTGATTGCTGGTGGGGTTTGGGCTCACGCCTGGCTTTGAGCCATCACACTCTCACTGACCATCCACACATGGCATGCAGTGTGTTCGTGTGTAGTGTGCCTGTGGCTGTGGCTTTCTTTGTTTACTGGAAACTGGGGAGGTAACTTCAGAAGAAAACCTTTAGATGCTTTGCAAAGCAAAACTTGGAGCCAGAATGGGAACATCTGACTCCAGCCACCACCACGTAATTGCACAGCTCCATCTGCCCTGCTGCAGCCTCTACATTTCAGCCTGGAACAATATCCGTGAGAAAGCAGGGAACTCGGAGCAATGCCCAAATGCTCTGTGTGGATGCACTGTATCCCTCTCTCGCTGTGGAGAGGCCTGCGCTCCACTCCAGCTGCTGACCCCCTGCTCTGTCCTGTCCCTGTACTTGCAGGGGCCATTTTATGCTGGAACCAAGGCAGCTGGACACCCAGCTGGAGCAGCCCCTGAGGACTGCCAAGCTGCACTGGGAGGAGACATCCCATCCCCCCAGCAGGTGCGGTTTGGGGAGATAGAGGGAGCACCCACGGGGAGGGGCTGTTCATTGCATGTTTGCTTGTACCCATGGGATACCCTGCACTCTGTCTCTGCTTGGGGAGTTGCTGTGGAAGTACCTATAACTGGACAAAGCTCTGGACATTAACTTGGGGTTGGAAAGGGTACCCCAAAAAGACAGTCCTGCCATGAAAAGTGTGGGGGAATGCTCAGCTGTGCCCATACCTTCCCCTTTCCACATGGAGCTGCAAGCTCCTGACATCCAAGTTATGCTGTGCTGTCTTCCCTCTGCCAGGGCAAGGACTGCCAAAGGATCAGGCAGAGAACTGCCAGCAAGGGGGAAGACTCTGAAAATGAAGACAGTGATGAGAATGAGGAGGAAGAGGAGGAAGAAGAAGTAGATGAGAATGAGAATGGTGTCAACGGCACAAGCACCAATACCACAGAGAGTATTGGACCTCATGGCAATGGCACTGTGGTGGCTGAGGAGGGCACTGGTGAAGCTGAGGAAGAGGAGGAAGAGGAGGAGGAAGAAGAAGAGGAAGAAGAGGAGGAGGAAGAAGCTGAAGCTACCACCATTGCAAGCACCACCAACGAAGAGGGTCTGATACAGGCGACCACTATGGATGATGTGGGACCCACAGAGGTCACCACAGATGCCACCACAGATGCCACCACAGCTGGGGAGCTGTGGGAGTATGATGTGACAGCCAGGGACCACAGCCGGGGGGATGAGGGCACCACTGAGGGTGGGTACGAGGAACAGGATGAGTACGCACGTGGGGACAGCTACCGCGCCTATGAGGATGAGTATGGCTACTACAAAGGGCACGGGTACGACGTGTACGGCCAGGATTACTACTACAGCCAGTGAGCACAGCCCTGGTGCTGTCCCTGTCAGCCCCAGCCACTCAGGAAGGTGCATTCCAAGGCTCCCTGGAGCCACCCCATGCCAGAGGGGATGCCAGGCAGCTTGTCATGCACAGGCTGCATCCCTGGCTCCATCCCAGGCTTTTTTTTTTGTATCTTGCAAAGTGAAATGAAATAATGAAATGAAATGAAATGAAATGAAATGAAATGAAATGAAATGAAATGAAATGAAATGAAATAAAGCAACTGAACTGAGCTTGTTGGTGACAAAAGGTTTGCTGCCAAATTTTCTGCGGTCAGTGGAAGAATGCAGCACTTGGGGAGGGGCTGAGGGGCTGCATGATGCTTAGGGCTGAATCTTGTTATTCCAGCTCAGATGTACATGAAAGGAGGGAGGAATGGCAAGGATAACTTGGAAAGCTGCTGTAGAGTGCCCTCTGAAAAATGAAAGGGTGCTCTTAGGGACACTGCAATGGGATTACAGCCTTGTTTTACGTAAAGTTGATGTGAATTTCCAATACGTGAGCAGTGATAACTTTATCATGTCTTCTGTTCCTTGGTAATGCACCTCCCATGGCCTGACCACACATCAGGCAATTTTAATAAGGGCAAAACCACTAATTTCTCTTTCTGTGCATCACTAGCTTTAGACGCACACCCCTGTAATGAGGGCTTTGCTTTGTCCCTGCACCAGTCATATGGGTACGAGGCTGGGTAACTTTGATGCGTGTCTTGAACACCAGTACTGCAGCCCAAAATGTCCCTGTCACACAGCCTCATTCCCAGGGCTGTCACAGTGACAGTGGTGCATCCACTCCCCTCCTTCATCAGCGATGGCGATACCTAGCTGGGAGTCCTCAGCTCAGGGTCCCTTCCCAACAGGAGTATGTCCCTGGCCAACTGGTGATCTGCACTATGGATAGGGATAGAACAAATCCCACTGGGTTCCAGGCAGATGCCACCATCTGGGAATAGTGATGGCCCTCATTCACAGTTTATGGCAGGTACCGTGCTTCTCTTGCACTCCTAGGAAGGAAACCTGAGTTCAGCTTCTGATGCAGGTCCAACTGCAGAACTAGTCTGTTCCTGCAGCAGCAAGTCACTGGCCATTGTACAAAACTGCTTCTGTATGTCAAAGCCAGGCTGCAGCTTCTGGGGAGGCAGTAGGTGCTGCCTGCAGCATGGGCACCCCTGGGGACAAACCCCTATGGTGGCACTGAGGAGCCCTGCGTGCACTCATGGCTGGTGTGGGGACACGAGAGCTCCATCATCCACATCCCCGGGGGGTGCTCCACTGCGTCAGGAAACTGGCACAGACAAAGAGCCCTGGCACTGCCAGGGGGCCAGGTCCCGCTCCTACAGGGCGCTTAGCCCAGCCCTGTGTGCGTCAGCCCCCCAGGTACCTGGCAAAGGCTCTCCTCCAGGAGCCAAGGCATGTGGGCTGGCTGCCCTGTGGGGTGGCATCCGACTGCCACTCCCTGGCCAGTGCCTAGGGCCAGTTTCCCGCTGGCTCCAGGATTTATTCCTGCTTGAGGCTGGATGCTGATGGTTTAAGCATTTCTGGTGATAACATGGGCATTGTGCCAGCTCCCAGGGTATAGGTTGGGGCGGAATGGAGAGTGGGATGGGAGCTGCTGCCACCACCTCCACAGTGACTGCCTGAGCCAGGCTGGCTGCAGCAGTGAGAGCCTTTCTTGGCAAGGGTGTATGTGACCAGCAATGACGCCCAAAGGATAGGTGGAGAGAAGGAGGGTTTGTACATGGTCCACGCCCTTGTAGCACTTCTTTGTAATGAAGTAGGGCTCAAAGGGACCTGTGCAAGCAGTGCAGGGAAAAACATACATATTTTTGTCTTTTTTGCCATACATATTTCTTCTCTTTTGTGCTTGCACAGGTTTAACTCAGAACAGTTGAGGCTGAAACCCAAAAAGCAAGTGTCAGAAGACACAGCATGGTGAGGCTCTCAGTTTGGCCAACACTGCCCTTCTGTGCCAAAGGGCCAGGACCAGGCCTGGCTCTGGATCTTGCCCTTCCATTTCTGCAGCCCTGCCAGCTTTCCCATGTTGGTCACAGTGAGCAAGCCAAGACCCACTGCACACCCTCTTATCAATAACCAAGCTGGATGTGTGCCACACTAAGATCTGCACTAATCATTGAGCAATTTTGCCTTCAGAACAGATATTTATAAACTGTGCTTTCTGTTTATCCAGCCAGGTGGAACATTTGATAGCTGTCTTTTACCACAAACACATTTTTAGCTGGAAATTACTCCCCCTGGTTATCTGTGAGTGCTGCCAGAGCTGACAAATGTCCCTGGGCAGGCGCTGATTGGCTCTGTGCACCCGGGGCCAACTTTAAATTTCAGCAAAGTGGGCACAGGCTCCACAGTCTGCCTGTGGGACCTGCTTCCGACAGGAAAAGGTAATCTTCTCACCTAGTTTCCTGCCCTGTCTCTCCCTAGCCCTTCAGCTCTGCTGTCCCTGAGCAGGGATTCTCCTGCTTTCACTCTGGGCAAGGCACAGTGGGGATGGGGACACCCTGATCCTTGGCTGTGCACATCTCTTGAGCTTACATTGCTTTTGTACTGCTGATCTTTGTGCATGTATTTCCTTCTGGTGTTTCCTGTAGCAATACTGGTATGGCTTCAGTCTCTGGGATGAACCTGCAAGCCCAGGCGAGGGTGGTTGGGTGAAATGAGAAATGGCCAATGGAGATATTGCCTGCTGCCATTTATCAGTGCTGTGAAAGCCTAAAGCCTGCTACTTTCTTAATTGGGATTTATGAACAGCTTAACTTGCAGCAACTTTAGGGGATCATTTATTACAAATATCCCCCCAAGCGGCCTTGACAGAGGAAGTTAGGCAGTTTTTATAGCCAGTGTCAGAGCTCCCACTTGGAGCTGCTGGCTGTGCCCTAAGCACATGGTGAGAGCATTGCCCTTGTTGTGAGGGATGCAAAGAGGCAGGACAATGCCAAGGGCCACCACAAATCCTGGGAAAAACCAGGGTCACTGCAAAACCTTGCTGCCATGGGAGCTTTGGGATAGCAGGAGCTTTTAGGTTGCTGCTAACCAGGATTATTGAGGACCACAAGTCCCAGGAATACTAACTGCAGCTATGCTTCACTTTGTACCTCCAGGAGCAGCCCAAGATGCAAACTTTCCTTGCCTGTCTGTGCCTGTGCCTGCTCAGCACAGCCCTCGCCACACCTGTGAGTATGGCTTTTCCTGGGTTCCTGCTGGAAGCATGAGATGTGCTATCCAGTGCATCCTGGCATGCTTTCAGCAGTGGGAAAACATAGGTTGTAGTTGTGTATACCACCTCTGGTGCTTGGGGAATGAAGTAACGTGAACAGCAGAGGTGACCCCAGAAGAAAAAATATATATTAGCACTGGGGTGGCTGAGCATGTTCCTTCAGCTTAGCAATCAGGGCATTGCACAAGTGTCCATCTGGGTGGCTGTACCTCCTGGATTTCTCTGGGTCTGGGATCTGCCTGGTGCTTCTGGCCTGCAAACAGCCTGAATGAAGCCACAGGCAGGGAGGTGCGGGGAGGATGCTCATCTTATCTGTGTGGGGAACAGTGGTCAGAGGGATGCCCACAATTATTTTCCAGCTCTCCTAATTTGAAATATTGAGAGATTTAACTAAAAACAGGGCAAGTTAAGATGAATATAATATGAGCCATTTTTGTCTTGCATAACTGTTACTGAGATTACTAAATACACAGCTAGAATGCAAGTCTGCTCCTAGAAAAGGCTTGCTTTTAAGTCAGGGTAAGGAGGAGGGAAATCTCATCTTCCTGAGATGGCCCCTCCCATGTGTCTCTTACCCCATAGAGCAAGCTCTTACAACCTGGTCTGTAGCAGAGCAGCCCAGGGGAAGGCAATAAATCATCACAGATTTTCTTTTCAGATAGGAGCACACATGGGAGTTAATGCTATGCTGTGTGACCAGAGCTGTAATCTGTCCTTTCACACTATTCACAAACAATGAAACAACCTGGGGATGTTCAATACTTTGGGGTGTGTTTCTGCCCCTTCAGTTGGGCTCGGGACGTTTCAGGGACTAATTTTTCTGAAATCAAAGAGGACTCTCCTCCATGGTGTTGTCTCTCACTCTGGCATGTAAGGGATGCCTGAAATGGCTTTGTGGGGCTCACAGGATGCTCCCACTAGTAGGTTCCCCAGCCCTGAGGGATGCACTGGCCAATACCCACCAAAAGATGCCAGGATAATCAGGGAGAGCTGCAAACCTGCGAGCATGTACAGAAACTCAGCTGTGAGGACACACAGGTTGCTGCTCAGTAGCTTAGTAAACACTGGAAACTCCACCAGTTAACCAGCTCTGTACTCAGCACAGGCAGATCCAAGCAGTAAGATGGAGCATTCTTTTGTGAGCAATGATGCCGTGTATTAAAAATGCTCTGTGGTAAAATCCTCCGCAGCAGTCTCCTGGAAAAGCTTATTTGTTATTTATCAACAACACCATATGAAGGCTAGCATGCAATACAATCATGCTATAGCAAAATTCACAATAGTTTTCCGATCCTGGAAACGGGATTTTGACCTTTCCTACTACTGCTGTCTTTAAGTCAGCACCCCAGCTGGTGCCTGGGAATTTGGTGGCTAATCAATGCAGTTTTCCCACCCTTCCCTGAAGGTGGGAAAGGGTGGGTGGTCAGCAGTTGGCACTGCCTGTGTGCTGAGGCAGTGTTTGATGCCTTAGCTCTTCCCTGTGTTTTGCTGCCCACAGGTGCCACCGCCGCTGCCTGAGAGAGCTGCTGGGAACTGTGTGGGACAACACCGGGTGTGTATCCTTCTGCCACCTCCTGGGGCCTCAGTGGGTACTGGTGGGACTCTACTGCAGTGCCAGACACAGAAAGGGAAACTCCTGCCAATGCAATTAATAAGGAAATTGTGGGTTTTGGTTATTTTCTTCCCTACCAGATATTTCTGAAAAGCTGCAATGCCAAGCATGGCTTCTACATTTTCAAATATGTCTACTCATTCTCAACGCGGAGGAACCAGACGCAGATAAAGGTAAGGATGGAGCCAGGGGACACTGTGGGACCCTGGCCTGCCTGGGGTACCCCCAGCAGCAATCCATCACCCTGACCTCTCCCTTGTGTGTACTACATAGAAAGAAGAGGCTGACCACCAGAGTATCATCCCCAGCCACCGACTGGATGACGGCAATGCCAGGAGGGAGCCACCAGCTGGGTCAGCTGGGACAGCCCCAGAGCACAGTGACAACAGCAGCAGTGAAGTAATTGAGTATGGGATTGTCTTCAGTCCCGAAAACCGCAGCACCCCGGGCATCAGCAGGGATGGTCCCAGTCCTCAGCCTGGCACTGGCATGCGCGCACGTGGCAGTGGGGGTGGCATGGGTCCCACCCCATCCAGCTCAGAGGGCAGCGGCGATATGGATTTGGTGGTGGAAGGTGATGGCGGTGTTCCCATTCTCCCTCAGGGTGAACGCCCCAGTGAGGTTGTGGTGGGGAACTGGTCCAGGGTCAGGAGTGAGAATAAGGATGATGGTATCCCCAGGGTGGTTCCGGAGGGGGGAGCCGTGACTGCGGGGAGGGGGAGGGCCCCTACTACCAGAGGGGCAGGGGATGAGGGCAGCGGAGAGGCCACTGTCTCTGGCCAAGGGCAGGAGAGTGTTAAGCAGGGTACAGGGACAGGAGGCACTGCTTTGTCCTCTGTCACTGAGAAGATGGAGGACGTCCAAGTGGATGCTGCAGGTGTGGATGAATACGCTTACATCCCCGATTCAGGCAGCGTAACCATCACCCACGGGAACCTGGGCAGCACAGACAGGGCCAAGGGTTTCACCCAGGTCTCTCCAGGCCAGGATGATGAGGTAAACATATTCATTGGGAGAGCCAACATCCATATGGGGGAGCAGGTAACCACCCAGGCTGGTGTCACAGCAAGTAGGGAGAATGATGGCATCCCCTCTGTGGGAAGCAGCAGGCCCCCCCTCAGGCTGGACGTCACCGTGGCACCCAGTGGAGGTGAAGATGACAGCATGCCTGCCCGCAGGCAGCCTGAAAGACTGGCCACCACAGCCACCCCAACCCATGGGGACAGCATTACCAGCAGCCTCAGGGACAGCCGTCTCACTGGAGAGGATGAGGAAGGTGCCACCACCACCATCGGTGTTGATAGAGGACTAACAACCCCTGTTCCCTGGAGAGTCACTAGTGGTGACATTACCAGCCCCACAGTGGCTAGCATCCATGGGAAAGATGATGATGAGATGAGAGGAGAGGGGCAGAAGTCCAAGGGGAAGCCAGACCATGTGGCTACCACGAGCCCCCACCACAGGGGTGACATGGAGGCCACTATCAGAGTCCCAGCCAGGGGGGGCAGCATCCGCCCAGCCCCTACTGAGGGGTTCCGCACCACCCCGTCAGTGACAGCCGGCAGCCACAGGGCAGGCATGGGCACTGTGCTCGGCAGAGGAGGGAGTGGGGAAGTGGGGACAGCCACCTCCACTCCCTCCCGTGTGGAGACACGGCCCGGGGCTGGGATGAGGGTCCGTCCAGGGGGAGCAGGGCTGGACAAGATACCCAGGACGGACAAAGCACCATTTCCAAGTGGGAAACCCAGCGGCGGGGTGTCGAGTGGGGGCCAGAAAATTGTTGGCGGCTATGATGGCGATGCTGGGGGCAGATCTCAAACTGCCAAAGCAGGAGCCAGCCCCGCTCCACAGGCAGGGCAAGCCACGGGCAGCATGGCAGCAGGCAGTGGCCGGGAGCAGGGGCGAGGTGCAGAGAGTGGGACAGCAGGGCTGGGGGCCGGGGGTGGCCGCCTGCCCGGGCACCATGGCAGGAGGCTGGGGGCTGGGGCGCCGGGCACCATTGCAACACTGGGCCGCAGCCGGCAGCTGGACCAGGTGAAACGTGCTGACGAGCTCCATGTCCGTGAGCGGGCCTTTTACAGCCTTGGCGGGGCGGGCGGCGGCCCCCACGGCCCCTATCCCGGCCTCGGGAGTGCCGACAGCAGCCAGTCCTCCGAGGGGGACCGGGGCAGCCACAGCGAGAGTGCACAGACAGGACTGCAGCCCTCAGGGTGGGGATCCCCAGGGTACCCCCAAGGCCGCTGGATCCAGGGGCCCCTCTGAGGCGTGGCCGGTATTCACCCCGGTAGGCTCCAGCGGTGGAGCTGGGGGGCAACTCGCCGTGTTTTACCCCTTGGTATCCCCCCTGCGGGCTCTGCTCTTGCCTGGGTGAGGGGCAGGTTGCTGGGGGGCACACAGTGCTTCACAGCCCAGGAGCCAAAAATCACTGGTTCATGCAATCTGCTGTTAATCTGGGGGAGGCTGCACATGGCACAGCAGCAGGAATGCACGGGTGTGCTGTGCTGGACAGCCAGGGAACAGCAGCTGTGCTACAGGGCATAGGGTAGCGATGTTTGTGCACTGATGCGAAGCAACTAAAGAAGCAGTGAGAAAAAGCCTCTGTCCTTGCAGTTTCACTTCAGCCTACTGGAGAAATAAAGGCATTTCTGTACCTGTGGATCTGCTGGCTCTGGTGTTTGCAATGGGACTTGAGGCAGTCACTGCCACAAGCAGCGTGCTGGGGGTGGGCTGGTCCCTGGGCATAAGGGGATTTCTGGCCCCAGCACATCCCTGGCCCTACCATTTCTTGTGGGACTGCAATTTGGCCAACAAGCCCTACACATCTCTCCCCTGGGATACTAGATCCTGCCCAGAGCCACCAGCATCCCTGGGCTTGCTAGGGAGGCCCACAGAGCATCCTCCCCCTCAGTTCATCCACTTCCCCCAGCAAGAAGTCCCCATCATGCCCTCCTGATGGTACATTTCCTGGCCACACTGTCCTTCCAGGAGCACCATAACACTCTGACTGTGCCACCACCACTCCTGCCACTGGCCCCTGCACACAGACCTGGCCGGGCTTCGACACACTGGAGCCATGCCCTCAGTGTTAATCAAAGTTAATCACTGTTTATGCAATTGCAGGTTGCTTTTTCTGTCTGAGAAGCTGCTAAAACAGGCGTGTTTAGGAGCGGCACAGTGGGAGAGGCATTGAGTCTTGAGGGGAGAGGTATTGCCTCAGCACATGCAGAGGGGACTCACCACCTGTGCTGTGCCTGTGCAGGGAGTAGGTAGGAGCAGCCGTGATGTCAGTGAAGTACTCTCAGAGTACCTGCTTCCCTGCCCTGCAGGGAAGTGGCAGATCCTGTTATGGCACACAGAATCACAGGATGGTTTGGGTTGGAAGGGACCATAAAGATCATCTAGTTCCAACTCCCCTGACACAGGGAGGGATGCCACTCTCGACACCAGGTTGCTCAAAGTCCCATCCAAGCTGGCCTTGAACACTTCCAGGGATGAAACATCCATAGATTCTTGCAGCAATTTGGTACTGAGAATTCATACATAGTTGATTCATGCTGGAACACTAGGATACTGTGTCTCACTGGTGCTATCAGTTACCACCAGCTCTTGGGACTCTGCTTTGCTACTGCTCATGCTCTCCAGCAGAAAAAGTCAAAATTGCATGTGCCCCCCATGTCCCCCAACAAATCATTAGGCCCTGGTGTCTCTGGGGAAGCTGCTCTGTGTACCTTGGTCCCAGTGCTGGAGAAACATGGAGATGTAGGCAGCCTGGGGCAGGGATTTGCCTGCAGCTTCCCAGGCTTGGGGCAGCATGCAGAGGACCCCTGAGGGCTCATGGACCTCCCATGCTGGCCCATCCGGCTCAGACTAAAAGGTGCTGCAGAGTTGCTGCCAGTCTGGGCTGGATAACTCACCCCTAGAATTGCCAAGGCACATCACACCCCCGGATTTATGGACTACAGCAATGCTCTGGGGATCTAGGGCTCGGCATGATTGCCTGGCAAATGAAGAGCATGGTTTTGGGGTCTCACTGCTGACAGGGTTGGAACTAAGAAGTTTGCAGCCCCAGCACAGTGCCCAGGCCCCTCCATCCTCAGTCCTGACCATACCAGGTCCGAAAGATTAAGCAACATCCTTAAGTGAGGGCTGGGCACCATCTAGTGGAATAAAAAGCCTGTTGCTGGGAATGTTTTGTGCCTGTTGAATGATGCCCAATTCTGCCTGATGCTGACGTGGGTACTGCTGCCATCTTGTCCCACCGCTTCCTCGAGGTCCTGGGGAGCTCTGCCTGAATGGCGAGGTTAGGTGTAAAAGTGGCTAGTTCAGGTATAAATGGCATACACATAAACCAGCATTACCTCCTTGCACAGTCACTGCAAAAGCGCTGGGAATTTTTTTGCTGTGACCCTGGCTCTGCATCTGGGAGAATACAGTATTTTGGTATGCTCACCCTGAGGCCCCTGCTCAGCACCATGATGCTGCCTGGCCCTGCTCCTTCAAATCCCACCTTCCAAATAGCACAAGAGGCCACTGAATATAAAGATTGCAAGTTTCCCTAGGAAAAGGTTTTCCCAGAATATTGAGCAAAGCAGGGAGCTGTTTTTTCCTTGCAGTGAAGGGTGAGCAGATGAGGGCTGGCAGGATGGGGGTTGGCAGGGTGACACTGCCCACCCCTCATGCTCAAACACCCACAGCAAGCTTACAGCTGAGCTAGAGGTAGTCACCAAGCCTGGGAGAGGTTCCTCTGTAGCCTTTTGCTCTTTGGCTCAGCTGAGCTGTGTGTTTTTGAGAAAAGATTTAATTTAGACTTAATAAATACACATCTACATTATGTTCCTTGTGTTATGGAGTTTTTTTGTTTTGTTTTTGTTTGTTTTGTTTTTTTTTGTTTTTTTTTTTAATCAAGGGCACCAGTGATTTATCTACAGGTGTTTCTTCACTCTGGGGTAGCAGAGGCTGCCCCTGAAGTGATTTAAGGTCATTCATCCCACCTTGTAAGTACACCAACCCAAGTGAAGAGTGATATATACTGTCTGAGGGTGCAGAACAAAAAATAAATTGTCCCTAAAAATCCCAGCTACTCTGATGAATGTTAATTGTGGTTGTGTGACCAGGCAAGTATGGGTACACACTGCTGCTTCAGGCCGGCAAGGTTGTAAAGAACTGCTAAAATGCTTTTTAAAAGAAGCCTAAAAACCAATGGTGCACTTTGAGGAACCATTCAAATGGAGTTTTGAACTGTGTATTTTCAGCTACAGAGATCAATGCTGGCTGTATGGACGGGGCAGGTGGTCCCCATCACAAATAGCCCTTCTCAGGTGTTTCCTTGGCTGTGGGGTGGTAGCAGGAGCCTCCCAGAGAGACAAGAGCGCCTTCCCCGATGTAACACCATGGTTCTTCAGAAGAGGGCAAAAGCAGACAGCCAGAGGGAGCAGTTGAAAGCAACATCTCTCAAAAGAGACTGACCATGGCTGTAGGACAGTAATTATTTTCCTTGTCACCTGCTGTAGTTACTCAGTGAGACCCATCTTCATCCCACACTAAAGACCAGGGACTGACAGGGACTGAAATACTGGGCACAGCCCCAGCACACCCTTCCTCCCAGTGCTCACCCTTCCTGCTCCAAAGTTGGCAGCCAAGGCTGGGCAACTGCAGGGGGCCTGAGTACATCCGGGTTTTTGGACAATGGAAGATGCCCCAAAGCCTCCATCCTTTGCCTCATTGACATTGAGGAGGGTGCAAAGCAGCCCCAGCAATAGGAAACTTGGGGTTTGTTTCTGCAGAGGAAGCCACACAGTACTGCTTATTATCAGGGAGGTTCAAAAATTATTTTACTTACTCTGAACAGTCTCTAACAGACCATCCACCAGCACTTCCCTGTAAACATTTTGGAAAACATTTTCTGAAGTGAGAACCATTGCTATAGTCAAGTAAAGGCACATTTTGATACATGGAGTAAAATGCAAATCTCAGTGACATAAGTAAAAAATATTGTTAGCCAATATTACAATCTGTTTGGGGCATCTTTTGGTAATCCTTGCCTATTTCCCTGCATCCTCATGGTAGCTTTAGAGGGACTGTTCTGCAAGGTTTCTTTGGGGAGCAATTGCCTTGCAGCTGGATACTTTGTGAAACAACATCCTACACTACATTCACCCTTCTTAAATTACTTCATGGGCTTTACTTGCTCTGATCATCTGGGTACCTCTGATTTGGAAGAGTACAGAGCTGACAATCTCTGGCCAGTGAACTGTGGGTTTTTCACACTTCCCGAGGTTGTCTGGAAAAAACTTCTCCTGCCAAAAAATCCTGGCAAATCGTAGCCACTGTGTGAAAATCCCAAAGCTATTCCTCCAGGTGATTGATATACCAAGCCAGTCAGTCTGGGTTCAGATTAGGCTGTTGGCTATAATTAATAAGAAATTAATGGGAAATTGGTAGATAAAAACTTCTTCTGTCATGAAATGGAATGGCAGGGGGTGTTTCAGAGATCTTACACCTTGCTTCAAAGCTGGCCTGCATGGGAGGAGATAAAATAGGTATGTCACCTTTTCAGCTTCCCTGCAATGTGCAGAGGAGGGATAGGAGCTTTATTTCCCTCCCACCACCAAGTGATGAATATTTTCAATAGTGGCTTTAATTAAAAAAGTGTTGGGCCTTACAATAAAATCTCCCAGCCCCCTGCTGCCATCGTCCACCAGTGATGAGGAAGATCAAGCCTGCCAGCCTTCAAATGCTTGACTTACTGAAAGCTGACCCTCCTTTTCCTCAGCGCTCCCTCCTCCCTTATCCCTGTTGAGACATTCCTGCAAAAAGCCATCCAATTCCACCCAAAAATACAAATGGCGCTGAGCCTGCTCAGCCAACCTCAGCTGTAGTTGTAGAGTGAGTGAACAGGCTCCCTGCCTAAACACATGGGATATTTCATATGCCAGTAAATCCATTTGTGCTTCATCTCATTTTAGACACTCCTGCTTTCCAAAAATGTTGGGTCCAAAGGGCAGAGTTTTAGATAATAAAAATCCTAAAGGAGATCTAATGCTTGAAATAAAAATGCTAAGGTGCTTGATCAATTCCAAATGCATATTTGATATATGAATAATTTGTGCCAGGCACTGAATATGAGAAATGAAGGATGTGTGTATGATGACCAAAACCAGCCTTTGCTTCAATTTCCAGACACAGAACTGAGAAAAATGGGAAAGTCATCCCCAACCATCTTTAACCACTCAATACTTTTCCCATTACGTAAGGGCAACTCTTGTATCAACAGAGAAATTATTGTAAGAAATGATCCTCCTCATGTAGATTGTGAGCTGAAAATATCCATATGCTATTCACAGCACTGGATGAATTTCCACCATTTTCCCCACACCCGAGAGCACTCATGGGACCAGGGGCTGAGGAGCATCCCTGTATCCAGCAGAGCTGGGATGGGTTTACTGCTACTCTCAGGAGCACCAGCCCAACCCTTTGAATGCAGGTCCAGTGGCAGACTGGCTAGAAGAAAAACTGAATTTTAATTTCACTTTCCTTCCTGTGTTGCCTTTCATAGCAGAGCAGGGCTTCAAGAGGAAGGTGCTGTCTCCAGGAGCAGAGCAAATCTCCTCCCAATCTTCTTGTGAAATGCTCAGC